GTATTTAGAAATCAATGTTTCAATTAATTCAATATCATGTAACAATTCTTTAATTAATTATAAACTAATCAATATAAATTATATTACAGCAAGTGAGTATTTAGAAATTAATGTTTCAATTTAATTCAATATCATATAACAATTTTCTAATCAATTATAAAAAAATCAATATAAATTATACCACAGGAAGTGAGTATTTAGAAATCAATGTTTCAATTTAATTCAATGTTATATAACAATTTTCTAATCAATTATAAATTAATCAATATAAATTATAATACAGTTAGTAAGTATTTAGAAATCAATGTTTCAATTTAATTCAATATCATATAATAATTCTCTAATCAATTATAAACTAATCTATAAATTATATTACAGTCGGTAAGTATTTAGACATAATTATTGAAATCAATATTTAATTTAATTCAATATCATATAAAAATTCTCTAATCAATTATAAACTAACAATATAAATTATATTACAGCCCGTGAGTATTTAGATATAATTATTGGAATCAATTTTTTTAATTTAATTCAATATCTTATATCAATTATAAACTAATCAAATATAAATTATATTACAGTCTGTGAGTATTTAGATTCATAATTATTGAAATTAATATTTCAATTTAATTCAATATCATATAATAATTCTTTAATCAATTATAAACTAATTAATATAAATTATATTACAGTCTGTAAGTATTTAGATTTATAATTATTGAAATCAATGTTTCATATAACAATTCTCTAATTAATTATAAACTAATTAATATAAATTATATTACAGTATGTAAGTATTTAGAATTATAATAATTGAAATCAATTTAATTCAATTTAATTCAATATCATATAACAATTCTCTAATCATTTTTAACTAACCAATATAATTATATTACAGGGAGTAAGTATTTAGAAATCAATGTTTCAATTTAATTCAATTTCATATAACAATTCTCTAATCAATTATAAACTAATTAATATAATTATATTACAGTTCGTAAGTAATTAGATTCATAATTATTGAATTTAATATTTCAATATTATATAAAATTCTTTAATTAATTATCAATAATATTTTTTAGAAAGTGTAGTCAATGTCATCAAGATAAAACTGGATACAATTGGTGTAATTCATGTAATGGCAAACAATTTCAAAATGAATTTGATAAATGGACAAGTGGAGATAGTGAAATTGATGAATTTATTCAACAAATACAACTTAAGGCAAATAAACGTCAAGATATTATTGAGTGGATTCCATTTAATAAATTTATTAATTTCAAATATCTTGCTAAAGGAGGTTTTGGCACAGTATATGAAGCAGAATGGCTTGATGGACATATTCATTCTTGGGATTTTAAAGTAGAAAATTGGTACAGGATTAGTAGACAATTTGTTTGTTTAAAAAGTCTTGATCATTCCACAAATAAAAAAGATTTTTTGCAAGAGGTAAATATTTTATGTTATTTAAATTTTATTATTTTAAATATATAAGAATAATAATAATAAATATTACATTATTTAAATTTTATTATTTTATAATAATAATATTTTAGATTGAAAATCAACTTAATTTTAGAGGTAAAAATGCAGTTTCAATATATGGTATTACTAAATATCCAACAACAAATGAATATATGATGGTTATGAATTATGCAATACATGGAAGTCTTCGAAATGTATTAAATAAAAATTTTAAAGAATTTACTTGGAGAAACAAATATAATATGTTATTAACTATTATAAATGGACTTATAGATATTCATGAAATGGGCTTAATGCATAAAGATTTTCATTCTGGTAATATAGTTAATCAAATTCCAACTTCATGTTTAATCACTGATTTTGGATTGTGCAAACCAATTACAGAAAATAATTCAGAAAAAATTTATGGGGTAATTCCATATATGGCACCTGAGACATTAATTAGAGGAAAATATACTCAAGCATCTGATATTTATTCTTTTGGTATGATTATGTTAGAAGTTTTAACTAGCTATCCTCCATATTATAATATTCCACATGATAATATCCTTGTAATGGATATTTGTAAAGGGATTAAACCTGAAATTAAGTGTGAAATTCCTCAATTTCTCAAAGAAATAATGGAAAAATGCTGGAATATTGAACCTCTTGATCGTCCAACTGCTAAAGAATTGAAATCTCAATATAAAAAATATAGTAATAGTTGTGATGATAAAATAAAAAATCAAGTTAGAAAACAAATTAAAGAAGCAAATGAATTAAACAAGAATTTTATTCAATATAATTCAAATGAAATGCATCCTGAAGCAGTATATACAAGTAGACGTTTGCCTTTTCTAAAATCAAAGAAACTTGAAACCAATATACATGGTAATTGCTTATATTTTTTAATAATAAATAAATGATTATTTTTATATAAAATAATTATATTTATTATTATTTTAGATACAAAACAATGGAATTTTGAACTTCCTGATGATATAGGTGAGTATTATAATTCTTGAAGTATTTATTTAATAATTATCTAAATAAAATTAATAATCTTTAAATTTGTATAGTTGAAGAAAATGAAATTCAGGAGAATTAATTATTAATTTTTTAAGAATTTTTATTTTTTAATCTTGATAATTTTTTGAAAATTTTTATTTTTTAGTCTTGATATTATTTTACAACTTTTATATTTTCTCTAAAATTATTTATTTGTTTATTTTTTTATATTTTATATTTTATATTTTATTATTTATTTGATCACTGGAATTATAAAGTATAGTTTCTATTTAAATTAAAGCAGACCAGTATGTAATCATTTAAAATAAATTATTATTATCTTGATATTTCAAGAATTTAAATATTTGTAATTATTTATTATTTTATATTTATGCAATTAAATTGTACAAAGGTGAATTTCTTTTTGACTTTTATAATTTATACATAAAATATCTAATAGTCAAAAATCAGTTATTTAATTTTTAGCAATTTTTAATTGATTTTTATACATATTTATTTATTTAACACCTAAAGTTAAAATTACATAAAATCAGAAAATTTTAACAGGTGAATGATTTTCAATACAAACAAAACAATAATCAACAGAGGATTTTCAAGTTTTCACAATTTTTTATATTTTTTTAACTTTTACAATTTCAATTTTGAAGCATAGAATGATTTTTTACTAAGGTATTTCTAAGATAGAAAGAAAGTCCTTGTTCTTGGTTCAAATGGTTTCATTCTAATAGCATTGATATTTGCAAAGTTATTCACAAAGAAATACCTGTTGTAATTCAAAAAACTGATGTAATCAATTAAGACATATAATAATTAATTAAGATATATAGCATAATTAGTTACAACTGGTTACAACTTCTGCTAATAATTATGACAGTATTTCTATATTTATGTTTAAAGTCAAACGTCTGTGAAAAATTTCTGCTGTAATTCTGATCAGAATTATCAAAAATAATAGATGGAAATTTTTCACAGATGTTTAACTTTAAATTTGAATAACTTCACGAGTATCAATTATACTGAGATAAAATATATATCATTTTGTAGTAAACAACAAGACCTTTCTTTTTATCTTAGAAATACTTTAGTAGAAAATCACTCTATACTTCAAAAATTGTAAGTGAAGCTGAAAAAATGTAAAAAAAAACAAAAATATTTGTGAAAATCCAATATATTATAAAGAAAGAAAGTCTATTTATTTATTTTTTCTTATACCTCTCAACATTAGTTAAATACAAAAAAGATACTGTACTAAATGATAATTCCTATATTATAAATTAACTAAAATCATAATTTCTATATTACAAACCAGCTAAAACCAACTGTCCTATTTTATCCTATATTGTAAATCAGCTAAAATCAAAATTTCTCCTATTCTTTTGTATTTGATCTGTGCAAATCTTGTAAACTCAAATATTCATATATATTCACAAGCTCAATTCCAAAGAAAAAGAATAAGTATTTTATTTTTTACTTAAAGATAAATAAGAAGAGATAAATAATTTTATTTATTTTTTTTTTAAAAAAAAAATTAAAAAATATACTTACTAATATACTTTTACAAATCCTCACTGGAACAAAAAAAATAATATACTTTCACAAACTTAAAATGTCATAAGAACAACATTCTCAATATCAATTTTAAGAAAGAAGGTAAGTTGTTTACTTATTTCATCAGGAAATTTTTTTTGAATATAATTAGAGTTTGACTTGTAAATTTGCATATATAAAATACTATATTATGTCTTTGACTCAATTACTGAAATTTTAAGTACATCTATGTTATACATGTTATCAAAGTAAAAAGCCTTTGACTCAATTCTAATTTTTTCAATTTTTAATTGTGTCCAACTCAATGATTGTATCAATTTACTATATAAAAATAAAAATTTACATGACAATTTCAATTTTTTCAATTGGTTAACTCAATTCAATAGTTTTAATGACTATGTAATTGCATCAAATAATTATATCAATTGCATCAATTTTTCATATGACTTAATTCCAAATTATTTGTAATTTTAATTGTGTCTTGATTAAATTTAATAGTTTCGATGACATGTATAATCTATATATTAAATTTTATATGAAATCTTAAAAAAAAGTGTATATTCTTTATTTATTAATGAAGAAGAATTGACCTTTACATAAGTGAAACAAAAACTGGTTTGTTTTTTAGGAATGTGAGACATTAACAGTATTACTTTAAAAGGTACAAACTGTTCAAATACAGTAGGTTTATTCTGGAATATTCAAAATGCCTAATTTATATACCCTTAAGCAATATTAAATTACAAAAAACTTATATGTAAGAGAGAGATAATACGTGATCAACTTGTGTGATCTTAAATATGATTGGTTATGATAACTGATCCTTTTTAAACTGGTTTTAAGATTAATTATTGTAAGAAAATCTTTGTTAACACACTTTACTATTGGTCAAAAAATATTACTATTTAAATATTTTCGCGGGAATTAAAGTTGTAGAAAAATAATATAAAAAAAAAATGGCTACAGATACAATTAGTTCAAAAGTTTCCGTCGACAGTAGGTTCTTAAATCTATTATTTCGACAAAGTGCGGATCGTAATCAAGATCGGTATAAAGAAGTAATACCAGAGACTCTACCCTTCAAACAAATAAAGGAAACACCTCTTCCAACGCGTTTGCGTGAAATCTTAGAAAGTATTAACCTTTTAATATATGATTAAAATATATTTAAAAATGTGAATGAATATGTTTAAAATTTTCTAAAATTTTTCTCTCCCTCTTAAACTTTTATGAAACCTTAATACAAATCAATAGGCAGTAATCGTAATATTCACGTAAATTTAGGGTGCTTACCGTATATAAATTCAGTTTACTTTATTGTTAATGACAATTTATTTATTTGGGATTATGAAAAAGGGTAAAATTTTATTTTAATTATAATATATATTTATAATATATTTAATATATTTGAATTTGGATAAATCCTATTGAAAAAGAATAACTTTGAATAATTTAAAATAATTTAAAAATAACAATAATAATAATTTAAATTTCGACGCGTTTTTAACAACACTTTTTAAATAACGCGTAATTTGATTAATAATTAATTTTTATATCTTTAAATAAGAAATGTCGATAGTGCTATTGCTCATATTGATGTGCATCCACTTCAAGATCAATATATTAAGAGAGTGGGACTTATTAAGTCAAGGCCGGGTACATATATATATGTATATATATATACATATTGGAAATTTTTGGTTTTTTTTTTTTTTGAATCGTTGTTGGTTCTAAATAATTATAATTTATAATTTTAATTTTATACTTTTCAGATCGGTTTATTGATAATGCTCAATACGTTTTGGTAATTGCTACGGATAAAGCAATTTATGTATTTGGATTTAGTTCAACACCTCAAGGAGTAGTATTTCATGACATGTCATCAGAAAGATATAGAACAGATTATAGTAAAAAAGATATTGGACCTATAATTGGTACTGAAGAAGGTCGTATTTTTTTAATTGATGCTGGTGAACTTTGTGAATTATTGTATGAGGTATAGAATAATAATAATAATAATAATAATAACAACAACATCAACAAATTTAATAAATTTTGGTTAAATTATTTAATTTATTTAATTATTCATTATTTTCTCTCATTTCTTTTCGTTTCTTTATCTAGGATGAAGGATGGTTTTCTAAAGCTTGTCGTTTACAAGATATTTCTGCTAGTTCATTTAATCAATATTTTCGATGGGCTAATCCATATTCTTGTAAGTATTGATATATATTTATGTATATAATAATTATAATAATTAGAATAATTTATGATTAAAGATATTTTTTAATATTTTTAATTAATTAATATTTCAAATTTATAATGATTAAAGCTGGTTTTAAGTCTATTGCAATTGATGACACTCGGCGAATGTTATATGCATGTTCTTCTACTCATATAGAGGTAATTATTAATCAATTTTAATATTTCTTGTCACCATTTAATAAAAAAAAAATTAAAAAAATGAAAGATTGATTTCTTATTATTTCATTCTTTAGGCATATTATGTACCTAAAGGAGGAGCATCTCCAAGAGCAATTGGAAAATATTCAATTAGTGATGATAAATCAATACTTAAAGGTGAATTTGTATCTTTGCATTCGATATTAAATACTGATTCACCATATTTTTGGTTAATTGCTACAACAAGCACAGGTAAATTTTAGTGCAATATGATTTACATTTAATTGACTTGACTATAATTAATTAATTTAATTAATTAATTGAACTTATTTAATATATCTATTCTTAAAGGACAACGAGGATATTTTACTTGTTATATTGGAAATCGAGGATACAATTGGTGGTTATCAACTGAAAGTGCCGCAACATTAAAAACAAAAGAACCCATTGGATTATATTTACTAGAAGTACATGATCCACCTCAGACATCATTATCTCAAGGTTTTCAACCAAATAAATCAGAGTTTTATAAATTTAGATATTTTCATGGAATCTTTTTTGCACTTCGGAGAGTGGGAAGTTCTTATATGTTAACAACTACAATTCCTAATCATGGATCAATGTTTCGTAGATTTATTCAAGTATTCTTTATTTTATTTTATTTTATTCTATTTTTGCATTAATTATTATTATTATTATTATTATTGTTTTTTTTAATTTAAATTTTAAATATTTATATTGTTATTTAGAATCAAGAACCTCTTTTCTCTGAACATTCTCATACATATAATATACCAAATATTTTTGATATTCAAGAAATTTATCAAAATTTATATGATCCCAAAAAATCTGATGAATATTCAAATGAGTTGATAAATCAATTTAATTCTCCCCCCCGTAAATTTATTTTATATACTTTGAATGGTAAATATAATGAATTGTTTCTTTATTTCTTTTTTTAAAAGTCTTTACAAAAAAAAAAATAACAAATAATAACTAATAATTAAATATTTTTACTTTGGTAATCAGGAATTTTAATATGGGTTAAGCAAAGACCAGTTGATCATTTATATAATATGCTAAAAAGAAATATGTCTAGAGATTTATTGAAAAATTTTATTGATAAGTAAGTGTTTTATTGTGTCTTTGTTGATATAAATCCTATATATGTTAATTATTATAATATATACATATATTTAGTTATGGGCCAGAACAAATATCAACGATGGCACTCCTTCTCGCTGAACCAGAAAGTCATGCATTTATACAAAATTTTGGAGGTGACATTTGCGTTTTTTTTTTTTGATTTTTTTGGGGATATATATATAGATAGATAGATAGATATATATATATACTAAAATTACCGATTTTCCATTTTAGTGTCATACAATGCATTATTTGAAGGTTTTGCATTTTGTTTAGCAAGAATTCTTCGACCTGTTTGGCGTCAAAAAATACTAAAATTAAAGTTTGTATATTGTATTTTTTGTAATTAGATTTCTGTAAATTATTATTTTCTTATTTTATATATATATATAATTATTTTATATATAAGTTTTGGCAATTAAAGTTCAAAATATTATTTTTTTTTTTTGAATTACTCTGCCAATAATGAATGTTTCTCTCTTTTGAAAATTATTTAGCTCAAAATACTTTGATTAGATTTATTGGCAAGCACAATTTCAATTGTTTTAAAAAAAAAATAAAAATCTAAATTTATCTATCAAATAGTCCTGATAATACAAATCCCGATCGTCGAGATTCTAGTGTCCCGGAACAAATATTACGTGACACTACAATGAGATTAGCAAAATTAAGAGGTTTTTGTGATAGGTAATTTTAATAATTTTTTATTTAATTAAATTTGATTATAATTTAAAAATTATAATTTTATTTTTAAATTTATTTATTAAAGGTTTATTATATTAATAGACATCCTATGTATAAATCATCTCCCCATATTATTGGAGATACCACAACGGTAAGTAATTAATATTGTTAATGAAAAATTGCAAGGATTCTCGAAATTCTATTTGATTTGGAGTAATCATAATCTAACAATTAATTTTTTAATAATAAATGTAGACGCCGAGCGTCACCTTGAGCTCTTTATATGATTTACTTGTCAATCTGTCTGATGCCATTGAATTTATATTACTCATGATTGAATATAATTTATCGGAAACAATTGCAAGGTTTTTAATCAAAAAATCAAAATATTTAACAATATAAGAGATAATACAAATAAGTTTTATATTAATTTATTACTACTATTTTTTTTATTTATTTTTTTTTTTAGTATTTCTAAAGGTTCACAACAAATAGTCTTTCAATCAACTTTTGAACAATTGATAACATCTCAACCAGTTCGAAGTAGTTGGCATGATTTAGTGCTGGCAATAATTAGAAGAGAAAGTGGTCCACGTGTGAGTAGAATTAATTGTTGATTTAATTTTGAATTAATTATTTATAATAATTGAATTTATTATTATTATTATTATGTAGGTTGATAATCTTAGTCGTAATTTAGAAAGACGATGTCCTACATTTTGTAATGCTGCTGAAACTAAAATGTATCAGGTATTATTTATTTAATTTTCTTAATTTTCTTTATATTTATTTTATTCAAAAAAAAAAAATCTTTAATATTTTTATTTAATCATAAAATTATATCTTATTAGGGATATGAGGCATTACAAAAGGCAAAGAAAAATGATGATGAACATACCACTCGAGAAGCTTTGCGTAATTCACTAAAGTAATTCTTTCAGGATTAATTTCTACTTATTAAGAATTTATCATTGTTAATTATTATTTATTTTATTTATTTATTTATTTATTTATTTATTATTATTATTATTATTATTATTATTATTATTATTATTATTATTGAAATTTTTTCTTATTTTTTTTATTTAGGCTTTTTTGCGAATGTATAGATATTCTGACATATGGAACTTTAAATAATTTATGCCAAGAATATAATAATTTTGGTTTTTATGAAGGTTATTATTTTTATTTCTTTTTTACAATCCATTTTAACACTTCATTTATATGATTTTTAATATACATATATATTTTTTAATTTTAGGTTCAATCGAACTTTTATTAAAAGCTGCACAGAGCTTTGATTTAGCGCCGGAAAAACGAAATTCTATTCTTGATCTTGTAATTGATACCCTTAGGGATGCAGGTGTCTTTGTAGATGGAGTTCAACGTAATAGATCTTTATCTTTATATTATCTTTTGATTATTTAATAATAATAATAATTAATTTTTAAGTAAGAAAATTTTGAGTGTAACCAATTTTCAATATTTAATTTTAGGAAATACACAGTCTTATAATCCAGTACTTCAAAAAGCTCTCAACTTAGGAACTTCCCTTAATGATAAAACTTTCCTTTTTGCTGTATATGACGAATTCCTGAAGGCAGATTCTATTCCTCAATTGTTTAACGTAAAATATTTTTAAATTTATCAATTTTTATATTTTTTTTTTTTTAAAAAAAAAATTTGAATTTATTAAAATTTATTTATTTTATTTTTTTTTTACCTTTTTTAAAAAATTCGAAATAGCCTCCTGCACCATACTTAGAAGATTATCTAGATTCTTCTAGTGATTTAATGACACCGATTTCAAGAAAAAAAATGGATTTGTATTGTGATTTCTGTATTACACATAATCAATTTCTCAAAGCTGCCATTGTTAAAGAACACATTGCTAAAAATTCTGGGTAAACATTTTAAAGTTTAAAATATATATTTGTATTCAAAAAAGTTTGAACTTTACAAATCATTTTTCAAATTAAATAAAATATTTGTAATATTTTATATAGGAATGATGTTGGTCTTCAAGATCGATTACATTATTTAAGTCATGCGGTTGGTCAAGCGGAAAGTGCTAAAGAAATAAGTGAAACTACTGAAGTAATTGAAACTTTAAATAGAATTCGTAAAGAATTAAAGGTACATCATCATTTGTTCTTTTTTTTCTTTATGTTTATTAAATCAACTTTTAATAATTTAATAATTCATTAAACAATTCGTTAACAATTCATTAACAATTCGTTAACAAATTCTTTAACAATTCGTTAACAATTCATTACCAATTCTTTAACTATTCTTTAACAATTCGTTAATGTATATGAAATTAGATCGCCAAAATTCAATATGAAATATTTGTCGCAATAGATATTATGCCTAATGCAAAATATAATGCTATTATGGCTTCAACAGGGAAGCCGGATAAATCACACGTCCTTACATTACTTAATCAACAACTTTTTGACGGGGAAACAGTAAGATATTAAAAATCACTAAATTTTATGAATTCCTTAATTTTATATGATTTTTACTTTATTTAATTATTTATACCATTACTTCTTAGCTTTTGAGAGAATTCGCTATACCTTTCGAATTGGTTGAAAGTGAATTATCTATAGTACATGCTATTGAAGTTAATCCTCGTCGAAATGATATAGATAATATTTGGACAAAAATAATACGAAAAGGTATCTTCTTCTTCATATTAATTACAAGTATTTTATTTCATTGTAACATTATTGGAAAAATTGTTATGTATTTATATTATTTTATTATTGATTTTATCTATAGCATCACAACGAGCAACCGATACGGGATCAATTCAACCTATAGCAGATATAATATTAGAGAGTGCTCAAAAATTTTATCCCCATGATTTACGCGTATTCCCACTACGTTTGTATTACTTTATAAATATTTCTTTCTTTCTTTCTTTCTTTTCTTTCTTAATAAAATAATATTTTTGAAATTATTCCTATATACACGACTTTTACGACTTTTGGATTTTAGAAACAATTGTACGTCTTGTTGCAACATATTTAATTGATAATCGAATCAACGAACCTTATTTTATTACAAGGATTCTGAGACAAGCGAATGTTGCATATGGTGATCTGTTCAATACATATCATCAACTTTATTCAAATAGGGTTAGAAAAATATTCATTATAATTTATTATACTTATTAGGTTTATTACGATACAAAATTTTTATTTATTTTTTCATTTTTTTTTTTTTAAAAAAAAAATAAAATCTTATATGTAGGCTGAACCCTTTAATAATAGTCAACCCGGAGGTGGAATGGAACTTTTACTTAGTGAATTGGCTTATGTGCTTAATCAGTGGATTAAATCTGCTGATGAACGGTATTTTATTTATTGTTTATTTATTTATTTATTTTATTATTTATCTCATTCTTATTTCAATGTTGATCTAATAAATTTTTTTTTTCTTTTTTAGTTATGATATTGTATCAAGAAGTATACATGGATATATATCCGAATATTTAACGACTGTTAGTCATTTTGCATTTAGACAAGATTTGGCACATGAATTTTTGGAAATACAAAGAAAACTCGAAGCATTTTCAGCTAATATGTTCGAATAATAAAAAAAAAATCAATTAATGCTAAATCAATCGAGTCAATCGAGTCGAGTTATTATTTAATCAATCGAAATTCGAAAATTTATTTTTAATTATTATTTTATTTTTGTGAATTTATCATCACCATGAGTAATTATCTCATTACTTTTGCAATAAATAAATAAGGATTATAGATAGAAATGTATATTTTTTTTTTTAAAAAAAAAACAATATAAACAATATACAGTATATTATGTAAAACGTGAGGTTTTATTTCTAGAATATGTGATAGGCATGAATAATGTCAAAAATGATAAAATGATATTTTACGCTTTTTGGGACATGATCAACATACAATCAATCATATAGAAGAAATTGAATAGTGTGACAGATTTTTTTTATTATGTTACATTGTTGAAGTACCTTCTACCAAATTGAGAAATCCCTCCTTATATATATATATTTAATTCAATGTCAAAGAAGTAAATCAAGTGGTAAATGGGTAAACAATATATAAAAACAAATAAATAAATAATGGATAATAATTAATAAAAAATAATAATTAATAAATATAATAGTCTAGTATAAGTAAATAGTTACAATTTATTTTCCTATATGAACCCATTTAGAAAATGTGAAATAAAATATTACAACCGAACCACCTAGCGAAAGAAGAATAATGGATAAACACAAACATAGACCACAACAAGTTCCACAATCAATACATTTATTCTTTTTTCTTACACTCCTTTCTAAATCTTCGTTATTTTCATTATCTTCACTTGTGAAAGTGGAATTTGTTCTTTCAGTTTGGTTGGCGGTAGTAGCCATTATTTAATTTTAGAGAGTTTTTATTTTATTTGAATATTATTAATATTTCAAAGAATTGGGATGATAATTAATTATTTTATTTTTTTTTTTTTTGATATTAAAATATTTATTTTTTATTGATATTTAATTAATTTTTGGTTGAAAAAAGAAGTTGAGACGGATGAAATCTTATTTATATATATATATATATATTTATTTATTTATATTTATTAATGACATAAACGCCATATATAATACCATATAAATGCCATTCAAAATATTGTAAATGCACCGAAAACTTACACGGAAAATCTAGAATAATTATTAAAGAATTCTATTATTTAGGAAAGAATGGCTAAAAAAAATTACAATCTGAGCAACGTAACAATTAACTTTATATAGAAATAATGAATTTTTAAAAAACAAAAATATTATTTATTTTATTTTATTTTTTAACAAAATAATGGATACAATCAAAATATGCAATACAAGGAATACAAGGGGTAATTTATGAATCTGCAACAATTATAACAATATAACAATATACCATATATCATAAGCTCGGACCTCCCCTAAGACTCAGGCCGACCCAATGCTACAAATATGATTCAACCATCCTTGTGAGAACTTTCAAATGGTACAAGAAATATCATGGTAGAATTGATCAAAAGTAAATAGTATATGCTTGTCAACCTTAAGCCAGGCTCATGAATCCACGAACCTAAAATCAAGGCTTAGGCTATGAGGAACTTTAATTATAATTCAATGTAATTTAAGATTATTTAAAAAATAGGTATAGAATAAAATTTGTTGGTAAATAATATTTTTTATTTATTTTTAAATATATATCAAGAAAAAAAAAATTTTTTTTTTATAATTTTATTATTTACAAAAAAAAAAAAATTATATTCTATTTTTTCGGATGATTGATAAATAATGTGATCAAAAATGGGATCATCCATTTAAATACTATATATGAAAAGAATATAAATTATTAAATAAGTATAAATAGGGAATTTGAAATTTGATTAATTTGAAGATTTTGCATGATCAAATAAGGCAGAACTTAAGCCCATAATAATAACACCCAAGAAAAAGAAAGTGCTGACTAAATTCCCATTAGACCTATCATTCTTAATAGCTTGTGGTAGCATTCCCTATAAAATAAAATAAAAATAATCATTATTATCATTATTATTTTCGATTATTATTATTATTTATCGGTATCACTATTTATCATTATTTTATCACAATAATAATAATTGATTATTACCTGAATGCAAATAACACCCATTAAACCACTAACGAAACCAAATAAAGCACCATAAACAAAATTATGATCCCAACATTCGTTTGATGATTTTTTAAGAAAGAACCAACCAATCAAAGCACCTAACGGTTGGCTTAATCCACCTAATAAAGTGGTATATAAAAAACTTTTCATTCTTGATCTTGTGGCGATATATAATGGAAGAGCTATTGCGAATCCTTCGGAAATATTATGAAGAGCGATGGCAAAAAATAAAGCGAATCCCATAGATGGTGATACTTTTGACGTGACAAAAGTAATAAGGCCTTCTGTACTCGGCGATAAATGAGTGATGTGATGTGATTTGATTTGATGAGATGGATGAATGAGTAAGTGATGAGTGGAATGAATGAGTGAGTGATGAATGAGTGAGTGAGTGAGTGAGTGAGTGAATGAATGAATGAATGAATGAATGAATGAATGAATGAATGAATGAATTGAAAGAATGATTAATTATTTATACCTGGAAATTTATGAATGGAGATAGCTAAAGCTGTTTGAATTCCTATACGCATTAATTGCTTTTGATCTTGATCTTTTGGATTTAATGGATTTTGTTGATTAAGGTGGTGATTATGATGTGGATGTGGATGTGATTGTGGTTGATCATGATTATAAAATGATTTAAGAGAAGGTACTTTAGAGTCATCAGTATCACTATCTACAATATAAATTGTATCATGTTCACTATCATCATTACTATTATCTCCATTATATTCATTATTATAATTATTAGTATTATTAAAATCGATTGATTCAGATATCATTCTATTTGATAATAATGGTGATTGTTCATTATATGGGGTAAAAGTTGTTTCTGGGGATGGATTAGGATTATGTTCAAGAGGATTATGTTCAAAAGGATTATGATGATGATGATGATGATGATCGTGATCGTGGTGTGAATGTAACATGGAATCTTCAGATATGAAATGATGTATTAAAGAATTAATTAAAGAAGATCCTAATACACCCGCGAAATAAAAGATCAATAAGAAAAGTCCAGAATATCCTTTTGAAAGATCTGAATGTTCGAAATTTGTTTTGGATTCATGCATTAACGTATAAAAGCTAGAATATAACTGAAAATATAAAAATAAAAAGTATTATAAATTATAATGATTGGTCATAATTGTCGTAATTATTATATTCACATTGTAAATAGAATAATAAATTACCATTACACCAGCTCCCAGAGCTAAAGATGCAACTAAAAAATTTGTGTTTTGTGTTATGTGAACGTAACGGACACATAAAAACTTTTGAAAAAATATATCCGAAAAAACGATTGATGCTATAATCATTTTTTTTTTTTTTAAAAAAAAAAAGAAAATATATTATCAATAATAATAATAATAATAATAATAATAAAATAGTAATAATAATAATAATAATAAAATAGTAATAATAATAATAATAGTAATAATAATAATAATAATAATAATAAAAGTAATAATAAATAAATTTAACATACCACCAACGCAACAAGCCAAACCTGAAGCGATTGACAAAATCCAACCTTGAAGGTTACTTCCTTCAGGTAATGCACAATTCACTTTAGTCATATTGACCAGGTTAAATATATTATTATGACGATTATAATTATTCACATATATTACTGACAGCTATTTATTTATTGTTTATTTACGTTTATTCACTGAGAACTGTTATTATTTAACGTTATTAGAGAGAATATATATTATTACTATTAGTGTTATTTTTATTGAGAACTATTATTTTATTATTATTGTATTTGTTGAACTTGTTATTATTATATTTAAATAACCTTGCTGGTTTTTTATTCTTTCGTAAACTTTTGTATAAAAACTTTTTAATATTAATTTTATTATCGATAACGTTAGAGAAAAAAAAAAAAAAAACTTGATGGATATTCTAAATGTCCAGGAAGGTACACACCTGGAAGGTACACACTCATCTATTTAATACTCTAATAAATTATACATATTCTATTACCATGAAGGTACACAGCACATATATAGTAGTATATAGTAATATATAGTATATAGTATATAGTTGTATATAATATATAATAGTTGCTGTGAAACTATTTAAATAAAACAATAAAAATTCTCACCCTATTATAACTATAATAATTTTTTTTTTTAGAATCAAATGACTTTCAATCAATTGATTAATATATTCTGGTTTTTTTAAAAAAATTAATTAATTATTATTATATATTATTAATTAATAATTAATTATATATCAATTAATCAATTATTCAAATCAATCGTTATAATAAAAAAAAATTACGTAAATTGTTATAATTGTTATGAAATAATGATGATAAAACTGGATTATCCTAAATCTTTGATTTCTCTAAATCTTTAACTTCTCTTTCTTAATCTATATTATCTGATCTGTTAAATCAATTGATATTGTTCTTGTTAATGATTAAAATGTAATCTCTCCTTTTTTTTCGAGTTAATTAATTTGAATAAAGTATTGAGTAATATAGAGTGATATATAGTGGTATATAGTGACAATCTGCTGTGAAACTATTTAATTAATAAAAAAAATTATTTCAGTTATATTTTCACTATATCAGATATATTCATTTCAAATTTATCTTTACATCATTATTGAATAAAATGATTTTTAATAAAATGATTAATTTGATTGAATCAATAAAATTATTTTTCATTCATTTATTTACAATTGATTAATATATTCCAATTTTTTTTTTAATTAATATTACATATTAATTGATTAATCAAAAAATATATTAATTAATTATTTAATCAATCAATCAATCAATCAAAAAAAATACTATTAATTAATTAATTGAAAAAAATATTATTAAATTACAGTAATTAAATATAGATTATTGTAAATTGTTATGAAAAAATTCGGATTCCCCTAAATCTTTTAATTTCTCTCTCTCTCTAAACCCTTTAATTTCTCTTTCTTAATCTATATATTATCTGTTATATAAATCAATTGATCATCTATAAATTTATGTATCCTTATTATTTTAATTATTAAAATGAAATCTCTCCTTTTTTGAGCTAAATAATTTGAGTAAAGTATTGAGTGATAATTTAAGTAATTCCTCCGCGTGATTATTCATCCGTGAGATATAATTTGAATAATTTTCTCCATGTGTGCGTAAATTGAATATAAATTTGAATAAAATGCATATTATGTAATCCTCCAATGTCTAAAGAAAGAAAGAAAGAAAATAGATATATATGAATATATAAATATATAAATATAATAAATATATAAATATAATAAATATATAAATATAATAAATATAAAAATATAATAAATATATAAATATAATTAATTATTATAATCCCAAAACAATCATAAGAAGATTTTAATGATTATTACTCACCCTCGTTTACATAACAATCTCACCAAAATACAATAACACACCATGAACACTACCGAAAATATAAAAGCAATATTTAATTCAAAATAAATTGCTTTCTCTTCTGATGAACAATATATTTGATCGCATAGAACTTGTATCGAATGTATTATTTTTTTCCAGGAAACTATAAAAATTAAATTTATCAAACAAAATGCTATTCCATGTTTTGCTGATTTGTAATGAAACTATTAATATCAATTAATATCAAGATATATATAGTATATCGGTCCGGTATAAAATATGTCCCAATATGTTCGAATCAATAATATAATATATTAAAAATATGTCAATATGTCCGAATATTATTTCCCAATATGTCGAATCAAATATATCAATCGAGTAATTAGATTTGAATTTTTTATAGAATTGGATATATATATATATATATTATATTATATATATATATATATATATATATTTTTAAAAAAAAGGAGAAAACAAAATAATTTAATTTAGTAAATACAATTTAATCATAATGTAAATTTAAATAATAATAATAATAATAATAAATAAATAATATATATCTAAAATACCAGTGATTTCACTCTCTCCCATCTCTTTTTATATATATATATATTTATATTTTTATGATATAATACAAACCGTCATTCCAGCCGTCACCGAAAACAATATCCAAAACCAAAATAATAAACGATAGGAAAAAGAAAAGGAAGTACTTGAAAGATTGACATGAATAAAAATCATGGTATTTGATATAAGTTGTATGGAACAAGTGAAAATAAATAATTTTTCGATATATGTTAACTTTAAAAAATGAATATTATGATATTTCTTTAAAAAAGAGTGCTTTAGGTGCTTAACAAGGCGTAATAGCGATACCATTATTACAATTATGATTATAAATTATTATTATTATATTATTACAAATTATTAATTATTATTACAAAATATCGAGTGTATATTATTTAACAATTATGATATAAATGAGGGGTAAAAAGTGATTATTTTTTTGGGAATTTTTTCGTCAAAGAAAAATTATATAAATATAAAAAATAAAAACAGTGAATAATTCTAATAATTCTAGTATTAGATCAAATATAATAAATTTCTAATGTAAGACAAAGAATAAAAAAAAAAAATGTGAATCAATACCTATTTAGTAATTGTTATTTTGTTTTAGGCTTTATAATTAGGTTTTTTATTTCAATAAATAAAATCATAAAAATACTAATTACTATTATTATTACTATTACTATTATTAACTACTACTATCTTTTGTTATTATTATCATCAGTGATAATTAGATTCCGAGATCCTTGAGGCTGTGAGTTAAGTAAGAAATCTTGGATTTAGTAAACATTTTATTCATGTATAAATTAGTCAAAAATAAATTTAATGGTTTAAAAATATAATAATAATAATAATAATAATAATAATAATAATAATAAAAATAAAAAATAATAAAAATAAAAAATAAAAATAAAAAAAATAATAATAAAAAAAACAGTTCAATTTTAAATTAAAAAATAAAAAATAAAATAAAATCAAGATTTATTTTGATACTTACTGATCTTTCGGGATTCATATTTTGAGTTGATGAACCTGCTATTTCTGATTGTTTTCCTTCCTCCTCCTCCTCTTCTTTTTGTTGTTGTTTTTCTGATTTATAATCACGCAAGAATATTTCAGCAGCTCTTACATCTTCTGGTTCAGGGCATAACTAATAATATTAATAAGTTAATAATGATAATAATAATAATAATAATGATTATAATTATAATAATAATTATAATATCCAATAATTCAATAATAATAATTTAAGAAATTTAAAATATTTACATCTTGTCTCTCAAGTAATTTAGTATAAAACTGAGCAGCTTTTTCTTTATTTGAATTTACCGAAAAAGAAGATGAAGATGACGATATTATTGATGTTGATAAACTAGCGTATAGAGAAGCTAATTTAACTATGGCTTGAGTTTCGGAATTTACATCAATATCAGTACAAGAGAGTGATCTGGTATAAGCCTTAGTTGCTTCAGTGGGAGCATTTGTTTGTTCATAAAGTGCAGCCAATCTTGTCCACATTCTTGCATCAGATGGTCTGATGGCTGATGAATGTTGATAATAATATAATGCATAATATGGCATCTTTAACATTTCATATGTTTGTCCTAGACCACACCATGCTCGATAATCTTTAGCATTGATTTCTATTTAAAACATTCATTTTTTAAAAATAAACATTTAAAAAATTTTAAAATGTTAAAATAATTAAATCAAATAACGAATAATTAATTAATTAATTAATTTAATTAATTACCCACGGCTCTTTTATATGAAATAACTGCCGCATGAGTATTTTTCAATTCCATATATTCATGTCCCATCAAAGTCCAAGCTGATAAACAATTTCGATTTATTTGTAATGCCCTTCTAAAATATGAAATTGCCTTCACATGATCACACTTGGAACTATATAAATTTCCTTTAAAAAATAATGAAATATAAAATAATATTATAACGTGAACATAAAAAAAAAAAATTTTTGAATAAATTAGATAAAGAATTTATTATTTCTATTTTATTTTATTTACCTATGACACACATAGTTTCCGAACGATATTTATCAGTATATGTACACATATGAGCGAGATAACTCAATTTTCCAATTTTTCTTTCCATCACATATAAAATATTTGAATAAACATCCATTTCATCTACTCGATATGGATCGGATTTAATTATTTCATCAAATATTACTTCAGCTCTATCATAATCTAAATTTAAATTTAAATTTAAAAAATCAAAATAAATAAATGAAATGTAATAAATAATATAATATAGTATAAAATAATATAATATAATATATAATCTAATATAAAATAATATAATCTAATATAAATAATATAATATAATATAATATAATATAATTACCTCTATTATTATAATACATAATAGCTTCTTGTGTTTGCAAAAATTTATTATTGGCAAAATTTTCTTTTAAATCATGATCAACTAAATCTTTAAAAGATTTAGGTGTTCCCGATAATTCGACTGTTACATAAATTCTAAAAAATTTTGTCATGAATGTATCCGGTAATCGTAAACAAATTTCTTCCAACTAGATAAATCATAAATAAATAAAATAAATATATAAATAATAAATAATAAATATATAAATATATAAATATATAAATATATAAATATATATATATATATATATATATATACAATTTAAATTTAAATTTCGTAAATTCAAATATTATATAATAAATAAAGAGTACCGTATCTTTAGTTGTGATACAACTTCCTAATTCTAACCATGCACTCCAATTGTACTGATATTTACATACAGATTCTATAAAAATATCTTTGAGATCTTTTGCATGTGGATTCTTTTGTTTTACCAGAAGACCATATCTAATATATAAAAAGATGACATAATAAAGATATATCAAGAAATAATAAAGATATATCAAGAAATAATAAATAATATATAATATATACAGATATGTTAAGAATCCATCTAAATCTTCTTCTTTCCGCCATGACTCCATTTCTTCCCATAAACTTTGAACTTCCTTATTTAAGCTTTTTTCATTTTCCAAAGGTCCTTATTATAGATTATAGATTATAGATTATTATTATTATTATTATTATTATTATATTGCTATTAAATTATTGCTAGAATAATTAAATTGATAAATGAATAAAAATAAGGCAATCACCCAAATACCCATAATATCTTTTCTTTCTTCTTCTTTCCTCTTTTCTCCAGCCTATTATTATTATCACATAAATTATAACATATATAACATATAAATATAAATAAATATCTATCTATTATTATAGTTATTATAATTATTATTATTGTTATTATTATAATCGTTGTTGTTGTTGTTGTTGTTGTTACATACCAAATATTTAGAATAAATTCTCAAAAATCTACATTTTGCAGATTTACATTTTTCCAATACAAATGTTGCCCTATCAAATTCTTTAACATCAAAGTATGATTTACCCAAAAGATATTTATCATATTCAATTGAATCAAAATATGTAATATATTTTTGGGATGTTGGTTGTTGTTGTAGTTGATCAAATTTTTCCATTGGAATTTTTTCTAATTTTATTGAAGTGTTGGTGATTTCTGGTTCTATTATAGAAGAAGAAGAAGGAGGAGGAGAAGAAGATTCTCTAGTTGAAGAGGAAAGTCCATCCAAAGTTTCTGCCGCCCTTTTTTTTTAAAATCATTTATTTTAGAAGGTAATGAGAGAGAAATAGATAATAATATATATACATATTCAATATATAAATAAAAGGACGATCAGTCTTGTACTAATTGTAAAATGTACATATATACGTGTATATAATATATACCATTTCGCTGCAAAATATAATCCTCTTTCAGAACATTGGGATATAGCTTCTCGAAGAATAAATTTTATTTCAATCATTGTGTGTATAAGAAAATCTAAATCTAATGGGGATCATATTTATAGGTTATAGGTAACACAAATTTTTTATCTGTTTATTTTTAGTCTTTCTAATTTGGTGAAACAATTAATATTATATGTATTTTATGAATACATAAAAAATTAAAATAAGGAATCGATATTAAGAGAAAAAATATTGTACATTTTACATTTTACAATTTCTAGGTAAAGACATTTTTATATTTCTTTTTATTATAAGTTCCATAAAAGTATATATGTACATGACGATTTCAAAAAAAAAAAAAAAGGATGAAAAAACGAAACATATAAAGAAAGAATGAAATAAAAATGAAATAAATAAATAAATACTTGAATTATTTTAAAATAAAATATTCAATAAATATTTTTTTTGTTACTTTCATAATAATAATTATTTTCATTCTCAACTATCTCTGTATAATAATTATTATTTTTCTTCTCAACTGTCTCTATATTTACATTGTTCGTCTTTACATTTTCATTATTCATCTTTACATTTTCATTATTAGTCTTTACATTGTTCATCTTTTCATTTTTAATTTCATTTCTCGCCGTCTTTTTATTTACATTACAAATAATTTGAAATACTTCGTAATCTTCGACATATGAAATATCTGTGGTTTCTCTTATAGGAAATTCATAACATCGTTTTTTACAGAATACTTTAAATCCAAATTCATTATTGTTTTTAAGCATTAAATCACTATCTCCAAATTGTGGTCCTGTACCATCATAATATAATGCACTTGTCGAATTGGAAGATTGAATTCGACTTAATTTCGATTTTTTGGAATCTTCATCATTTAATGAAAATATAAAACTATCATTTGTATTTTGATATCCTCCAATTTTATGCCAAGCCAATGGATTATAACCTCCTAATATTTCTCTAGTATTTTTAATTTTCAATACAATTATCGTATTATCTTTTCCATCACAATGATCATAAAAAGTTTTAGTGGTAAATCCGTCACGACTAGCTCGAAATATTAATGAAAATTCATAAGGATTATTAGAAACACAAAATTCATCATCATTATCATCATTATTATCATTATCATCATCATCATCATTATTATTATTCTTCTCCTTTCGATCAATCCATGAAGCAATTAATGCAGCCTGGGTTTCTGTTATCACCGTAGAAAATCGAGGTGATAATACATTATTATTTATGGGTCGATCAGGTACGATAAAATGTTTCATGAGGTCATCCCATAAACTTGGTGAAATTAATTTTTTATAAGGTCGAATTTTATCAAAAAAATCATCACCCGATATTTGAAAATATCGAATTAATGGTAAACAATTTTGTAAAGTAATTTCTAAAGATAAATAATCTTCTTCTTTCCATTTTACTGGATCATCAAGTAATCCCGGATTTTGTCCAATTCCCCATTTAATTATTTGATCCCAAATCTTTCCTTCCTCTAATCTTAAATCATCTCTTTTAATTAATTCCACTAACGCATTTTCATTAATTGAGGTAAATTCTTTAGTATTAAAAATTATTTCAGGATTTTTGGCTACAGTGTCCGTACAAAATTTTTGTAATCTTCGAAATGTTTCATATTTAAAACAAGTATGATAAATTAAATCAAAGTTTTCATATAACCATTCAATATTTATATCAAGAAGATATAATTCTAGATAATTAATAAATTCATCTAAATAAAATTCATCTCCAGTTATCATAAGTTCATAAATTAATGATGGCTCCAAATTTTCCAAAGAAATTGTACCGCCGTATATATATCTATACAAAAAAAAAAAAAAAAAAAAAATTTTAATTTAAATAATAATTTACGACTGGTGATTGCAAAATTACTTCAATTACTGGAGATGATCTTAAGCAAATTTTCATTATTTACCTAATAATAATATCAAAAACTTTAACGGGAATATAAGGTTTTTTTATTTCTCTTATTTCGAATTCGTCCCGTGCCAAAATTGGCAAATGTTTTTGAAAATAAGGAGAGCGATTACGTAAAATAATTGAATGAATTAAATATAATTGTTCTTCTCCAACTTCTATGATGACGTCATAATCTTCGCTGCTGTCTAGTATTTGTGTAAAATCTGAAGATAATTTTTTAAAAAATTCGGTAGTCATTTTTATATTATAATTTTTGATAGTTTTTAATTTTTTTGTTTATTTTTTATTTATTTGTTAATTTCTTTTTTGTTAGTAATTTCTTGTAGAGAAAATTTTGGTGAGTAGAAAATGAGTTTTTTTATAATTAAAATCTCAGGATCGTCGGATCCAATTCAGGTAATTCGAACACAATGGGCGCCTTTAATTATTTATCGATCTGAATTCTTTTGATTTCTTTGTTCTTTTATGATAACTCCACCTTTTTCTTTCCCTTTTTAAAATTTTCGATCCACCTTTTTTTAAAAAAAGTTCACATCACATGATTAGCCACTAAGAGAAATACCTTTTAAAATCTTGTCACAATAGGAATTTGTTAATGATGCAATTTTCTTTTAATTTCACATGATTTCAGAATGAAACTTTTTTCGTTGGAATATGATTTTAACAATATCACCTTTACAAAGAATTTATTATCACATGACAATCAAAGGAGAAGAAAAATAAAATAAAATAAAATAAAATAAAATAAAAAATGTGCTCAATCGAAGTAAGTAACACCACATTTCTCAAAGATTACAACTTGTAACACATATGTGGGTTGACCACCTACCTTATCGCAGTGGAATATCATTTTTCAACAATGAGAAAGATGTTTTTGTAAAAAAAAATATTTTTTTTTTTCTTCTGGCGTAATTGAGTAAATTTTGTGCACATATAGTAATATTATTGTCAACGCGTTTTAAAGAATTTTGTTGTTGGTCATTTGACACGTTTTTCATAAAGCATACCCAAATTGAATTTGGCAGTGTAAACTAATTTAGTTGGATGAAATTAAAATATGTACTCGGATTATCATGTGATAGTCTTTTATTTATGTGGGGGTACATTTTAAGAACGCTTAATTTAGTTTAGGGTGTAATCGGCAGATTAATTTACTCTTTTATTACGTGATTATTGATCACCTAATCAAAAATTACTCTTTTATTACGTGATTATTGGTCTCATAATCAAAAAGAATCGTTATGACAGAAGGTCAATGGACTTCTATAACAAGTTCCCGTCATCACTCTGGTCGACATTTTGGTACACGAAGAAAGTCTTATAGTCAAAAAAAATCTGATAATAACTATAATAATAATAATAATAATAATAATAATAATAGACGTGAAAATAGCAACGAAATAAAAAAGCGTCAAGAAGATACAAATAATAATGGATTATATCAGAATGCTTACAGTTTTCCTTTTGGTTATGATGTGGCAAATTTTTTTTCTAATAATTCGATTGACGCTAATTCCGATATATCGTCAGGAAGTGCTTCCTCCCCCGATACAACAGATTTAACCTTATCGCCAACTTCTGAATTAGCACCATATCATATTGAATTATCTTTAGAATGTCCTTTTACAAGTTGTCAAATTAAAGATAAATCCAAAGTGAAAATAACTGATAGTACATACCTCATAGAACATTTAAAGGAAGAACATTCAATTCGCTTTGTTAATTTACATCATGTTTATTTGACTATTGAAAAATATTTGGGATTTTGGGCAAAACAACTCGATCAAGATATTATAAAGCAATTAGATGCTGAAGTTAATGAAGGTAAATTATCATTATTATCATCTTTTCTTTTCTTTTTTTCTTTTTTTTTTTATACACTTTATTTTAAATATCTTTTTTATTTATTTTATTTATTTTATTTATTTATGTATTTAGGTCATTTAATACGTGTTATTGACCCAATGAAACTTCCTCTAGATAAAAATATCCGAGAAGAACTTCAGCGCGATAAATTGGTGATTTTTATAATAATTCTTTATTACGATTATTATTTGATATTATTTTTTGCTAAATTCTTTGAAAATAAGTAGAACGAAGTTTTACAAATTCAAGCAAATGAACGAAATGGTGATTCGAAATTACAAAAAAAATGTTTATTCTGTAATAATATATGTGAAAATAGGTAATTATTTGATTAGATTGATTCTAATTTAATTTAATTTGATTTAATTTGATTTAAATTAAATTAATTTGATTTTTATTATTTTATCAAAGACGGATACTATTTCGTCATATGTTTGATGAACATAATTTTAATATTGGTCTTCCTGACAATTTAGTAAATGTTAGTGAGTTTTTGCAAATTCTTGAAGATAAATTAAATAGGTAAATATCAATTTTTGTAATCTTGTAATATTATCACTATCATATGAAAATTATTAATTAATAACTATTAAAATAATTTATTTATTTATTAAAAGCCTTCAATGTTTATATTGCGAAAAAACTTTTACAACTCCTGCGATATTAAGAAAACATATGCGAAAGAAAAAACATTTCAAAATTAGTGCTAGGAATAGAATTTATGACCAGTTTTATGTTATCAATCATCTGGTGAGTGATGAAATTATTAATTATTTTAAAATTATAAAATATATGTGAGATAATTAATTAATTAATAAATATTTATATAAACAAACAAACAAAAAGGAACCTGGGAAAAATTGGGAGACATTTGAAAATGAACGTTATGAGTCTGATGAGGACTATCATAATCGAGATGAGTATGTACATCATCTTATATATTCATGAGAAATCAATTATAATTATTAATCGCTCTCTATAACGTACAATCGACTTTATAAAGTCCTTGGGATGATTGGAATGAAGAAGAATCATTACCAACTTCGTGTCTCTTTTGTGAAAATATTTCACCAAGTACTAAAGACATAGAAAATCATATGACAAATACTCACGGGTTTAATCTTTTAGCGATTAAACGATCAATGGGTGGTTAACTATAATAATATAATTTATTATTATTATTATTATTATTATTAATTTATTATTAAATTTTATATCTAAAAAATTTAATCAACCCATTTATTTTTTTTTTAATAGGACTGGATTTCTATCAAACAATTATTTTAATTAATTTTATAAGGCACAAGACTTCAAATATCACTTGTATGGCTTGTGATATTAAATTTGATGATTTCCAAAAATTGACCAAACATATGAGCAAAGAAAATTGTTTTATCAAAGTTCCATCATTAGATAATCCCATTTGGAATGATCCAAAGTAATATTTCTTTATTTTATTCTTTGGTTCTTTATTTTATTTTTTTATTTATTGAATTATTCCTTTTGTTCTCGTTTTTTTTTTTTTTAATTGTATTGTTTTAGATATCTTTTGCCCACTCAAGTTGGTGATCCGCTATTGGGGGAATTTGAAGATGGAAAAACTAGTAGTGAAGATGAGGAAGATGATAATGATTTGATTTTTCCAAATGATACTATGATAATTCCGGAAAACCCACCAGAAGAATTAGAAGAAGAAATTAAACAATTGTTAACATTAAATTCATTAAATCCTAGGGAATTTATTAAAAGTGGTAAATCCAATTCTAATAATTCTAGAGACAGAAAGAAATAATAATAATAATACTAAATTAGATTGAATGATATGATGTTTGTATTATATGTATTATATGTATTTAGTTATTATATTTAGTTGTATTTGTATATCTAGTTACAAAAAAAATATCAATATACATGTCACGATTTTAGGATAAAAAAAGTGTTCAATGTGATAAATTTACTATATGATCAAAAAAAATTGGATTTGCCTATTTGCCTTTTTTTTCTTCATTCAACCTGTACGCGTATGTTGATCCTGTTGATCCGTCCAATCTGTCAATCTGTGCAAACATCAAATCTTGTCAATCCGTAGATCATAGATGGTAGTTTTGCATTATTTAATTATTTTCGGCTACTGTAGTTATTTTATATGCCAATTATTTGCTGCCAGCAAAAGTTATATTTTTTTTTTGATCTCACTCGCGATTTACGAAATATAGAGCGATTTTCTAAAGGTCTACAAAATGGTATATGCTTCATCCCTGTAGTGTCAATATTCATCGAATTATTATGGTTAAAGTCAAAAAAATATCCAATGGACATTTTACTTTAAACTGTAATAACTCGTTGAAATACATACCATTTTGTAGCCAAGAACAAGGCCTTTCGATTTATTATAGAATACTTTAGTAGATAACACGAGCAAAATCAAAAAAAAAAAAAATGTAAAAAAATGCACAAAACAGCCACAGCTGAAAATAATCACGGCAGTCAAAATACCGAAAATAATTAAGACAGCTGACAATCAAAAATAATTATGGCAGCCAAAATTAAGATATACTGAAAATATTTTCAGCTGCAATAATTTCATAATTCTGGTTCCGTGGCAGGTCCAAGCATAAACCTAATACTGCGGAAGTTATCTCTAGAAATAAGAGCCGGTGATTTCATCTTTACTTTAAGTTTCAAATTCTTTCTTTGCAAGTATTCGATTAGCTCTTCGGTGTCAAAATCTTTTACATTTGCCATCTCGTGAACGGGCCCTTGGTCGGAGGAAACTCTTGAGGGTGAAGACATCTCTTTAAAAAGAAAGGTTTTATTACTATGCCTAGATACTGTCAAGAAACCGCGGAATCTATAAGACTAACTAGGTTTATAAGTTAAGTATGCAGAATCTATCGTATCATGCAAGGTTTTAAAAATGTACTGCGGAATCTATCATATCACTGCCACGAGTTCGAGAGTTTTTCAAAAAAATATTATCATTGGCATTGTCAAAAAAAGTGCTTCAAATATTACGACTTCCGTAATGGTTTCTGTCACATGATTATTTTTTTTTTCGTAATTAGACATTCATTGTAAAAAATCGTAGGGGGAATAAAGCATGAAAATATGCCTGCCGAAATCCTACATTGTAAAGAATGTTCCTGCCCTCACTAGATATCGTTATCGTTTTCATTATTGTTATCGTTATTGTTATTTCTATTACTACTGCTATCATCTAAAATTATATTGCTCGAAAAATTATTTCTACTGCTACTACTAATAATAACGGAATGATCTTTTTTCCGATTTTCTTTCTCAATCCAGGCCTCAATTTTATCTAATGTGGTACTTAGCGGATTTTTTTTGATGTCTATAGAACTTGCAAGTACATTGTACATTTTTGTGGGAATCGTTTTCCTTTTCATCAAATATCGCAGTAAATTCAATCCAGATAGTTTGGATTTCGGTAAAGTATTCAGTTTGATATGGTTGGTTGCGAAGATGCTTGCCCTAATTATAGAATGCAGTTATTAGAAATATAGGTAGCGTCAGAATTTACAAGCGTTTTACCAACCTCAGAATCCCATTTCGATTCGGGTTACATTCTATTTATTCGTTTTTTAAAGCTAAAATATCTTGTTTTAATTCTTTTATATCGGAATTTATCGTACCCGGAATTGGGGTAAGAGAAGGAGACACATTTTTTCGGATTAAAAATAATAAATTGCGAAGATCGCGTATATTGTTACATTTTCCCCGGCAATTGTATATAAAAAAACTCCCGGATATATAATTCGCGGATCACGATTACAATGATGAAAATTGCAATAAATACGGCATTTTAATCATGAATAATTTTTGATTGATTATTATTATACAATCATACTTCAACCGTTAACACCTATGCTCATAACATTGGTTCTTTAAAATCAAGCAATAATGTATTGGCGATAATACAATTATATCGATTGACTTATGTAGGATTCATCGATTCATGATTTTTAGTTTTCGTACTAATTAAGAATGTATTTTTTAATTAAAGTCAATTACCAATAAATTTCACTATGATTTTTTATTGTATTACAACTCATTTTCGTTTAAAAATTTTGACAAAATCGAAATCGGCTATATGTAAAAAAAGGTTTAAAAATGGCCGAAACAAATGAAACAAGTGCCTTTCTCTAAAATATAAACTAATAAATTATACACATATCTCCACAACCATGTTGGGTTTCTTTCAGGTTTTTATCCTCCTTTTTATCTTTTTTATCCTATAATTAATTATACACAGTCACGCGAGTTTATTACCATATATGTATATGTACAATGTTCAATATTAATAATATTAAAAAAAAAAATTCATAGGATAAAATTTGACGATCATTAATATTTTAATTTTTTAATTAATTAATTAATTGTTAAATATCTATTACAGTATTTAAAATCTCACGAGTCACATGAATATTATGTTATCGATTGTGTAACTCTACTATAATTATGATCGTCCTGCATCTAACTTTGAGACAAATTTATTATTATTTGATTCATAAATATTATACGCTCAAATTATATCATTTATGCAAATTTTCTTTAACTTGCTAATAATATACAATATTAAAAATGTCCAAAGAAACCAAACAAACTAAAATAACAAAATAACGAATAAAGCATATCTTCCCATGTAATTTGATAATCGCATACATTTATTGTAGCAAACTATTAACCACATGAATCAAAAGCGAGATATTTTTCAAATTAGGACTCGAAGGGTCTTGAGTAGCGATCTGATAATAATATTGTTCGAGACGCTGTTTCACTAGGGGTAAGAGTCTTTCGCAATGTTCTCTAATTATATGGTCCTATATGATATATGATTTCGTTAATTTTTGATTTCTACTGTATTTTTTTTTTTAGTAAAAAAAGGAAAACGATAAATACCTTCGGGTTAAGTTTGATTACAGCTTCTTCCATCCACGTGAGTTTTAAATCAGGATATTTATTCAATTCCAAAGAAAGGTGATGAATAAGAGAAAGAATTACAGGTTGAGAAAGTAAAGATCTTGCATGAGAAAAAACGGTCTTCGGATTAACTTTGCTGCAAAGACGTAAAATGAGTGGTAACTCATGTGAAGCAAGAACCTAAATATAACAAATTTATATTGTCAATTATGATCAAATGTAGATAATAATAAATTTATATTGTCATAATTAAGATTATAAATTAAATAAAAATACTAACAGCAACAAACGCATCCTCATAATTGCCATTCTCCAAGGCTCTATCAGTACTATTTGAATCTTCAAGACCTGGAGGTTCTACAGGGGAAAATAATTGTTGTGGGTGCGGTTGTTGTTGTGGGTGTAGTTGTTGTTGTGGGAGTGGTAGCTGTTGTTGTTGTGGGTGTGTTTGTTGTTGATACTGCTGTTGATGATGTTGCGGCTGTTGTGAGGAGGAGGCTCTAGAAGAATAACTATATGATTCTTGTTGGGAGACAGATTGTTGCTGGGCAGAAGTAGACGCGTTCGGAATTAAAATACGTTTTAATTCACCAGAAAGCGATCGAGCTAATTGGTGCTGCATAGTTTAGAAATTATTAAGGAAATAAAATTTGTTATTTATTGTATTGAACAATTTTATCCATATTTGTTAAAAAAAAAAAGAGGTTTGATTAAAAAGGATATTCATCAGAAGTGCGTCCCAATTGCGGTTCTGGTTGCTGCCCTCCCGTTTGTCTTGACAAATTAGTTTGCAATTGATACAATTGCTGTAGTTGTTGAACGTTCAATGCAAGATGATCAACGGAAGCCTGCAAGCGAATCAAAGTACTTTGATCTCCTCCGTTTGCATTGTTGTATGAAGAAGCTTGCGCACTCTTCACAGCAATATCTTGCATACCAGCTTCGAAGGTGGTTGTAATTTGTTCGAACATCGCGTTAGTAGCTTTTTGATAAGAAGGAATAAGAACATTTGTGAAATTTTCCCTAAAAGTTTCTTCTATAACTGGTCTAATGGCTCTGGAAACTCCTTTTGCTATAGATTCAATTACTGGCGTCTTTGCGAGAACACGTTGCACGTTATCCGCAACAGATTTTTCGATTGCTGTTGGTATGCTCTACAATTGATAATTGATAATAAATTAAAAGGTTGTCTTTAAATAATAATATAAAATGAAATTAATTAATTAATCAATATTAATTAATTATAACTTCAAACCTTGTTTACTGCATCAACCATCCCTCTATGAGCATGTTTATCGACAGCATTGGTAACCATTTTACTTAACGTAGGTAAAACGGAATTCTGAATTTCATTACGAATTGTTGTTTCCAATAATTTTGAAGTATTTGTACTAAGTGTTTGAGATACCATTTTAAGAATTGTTTCTTGGCGTGAAGTTTCAGCTGCTTGATGAGCTACGCGTTCATCCTCTATTTTTTGGACTATATTCCATATTTTTATCATTATTTTTATAATTATAGAATATATAAAAGAATAATTGATTAGAAAATATTATTAATAAATTTTAGGTTCTCATATTAGAAAAAAAAAAACAAACATTGTTTTTCCAATTCTTTCGAAAACGTTTTTCCAAGCTTGTTTGTAACATTATCCTCCATTTTTCTTATTTCTTTTAATATGGTTTGCATTTGAGCGGGTGGCAAACCGGAGGAGGTAAACGTTTGAGATGGATCTTGAGTAGTGAATTCTGTTTGTTGCTTAGTCATTGAATTAATTTTTCCAGATACTTTAGTTCCTCCATTATCATCATTTGGTTTCCTGATTTTATCGTTACCTGTACCAAATTTTCCATTATTTTTTGAAATTCCTTCAGCGGACTTTTTACCAGCTGATCTGTTTGATGCTTCGGGTGAATGAAATACGTTCTCATTGCTATTATCTTTTTCCTTTTCTAAACCTCGTCGTCCGTCTTTCTTTCTATTGGTCTTTTCCGAATCTGAGGATAGGTCAACACCCAAAATAGTTGTGGGTGAAGCGTTTGACTTATCCTTTCGTTTTTCCTTCAATTTAGCTATAGTGCCATTCACAATGGGACCTGATAGTTTAATATTTGATAAATTTCGATTATTTTCGGTACCTTTATTTTCGGTTTCTTCAATAATAAATGTAGACTCTTGCATGTTTCCAGTCAAGGGATCTGATATTGTATTTATCTTTTCTACTAAAATTTCTTCAGATTCATTATTTGTGACGACATTTATTTCTGAATTATTATCACCTTCAACAATGACTGACTCCACGGATTCCTTTTCAATGTCCTTTTCAATTATAATTTCCTCAGTAGATGATTGATTTAAATTTTCAGCCTGAGAAGAAAAATCGAGAGTCTCTGTGAAAATTCTGTTAATGTCTTCCTTTTTAATATCATCCTCAGGTTCTTGCCGATGACGAGTGGCCAGTTCAGCGCTCACATATTCTGGACACGATTCAATATTTGGTGGGTATAATAAATTTCCAGGAATTATACATTGTTGTATGGCTTTTGATTGAATACAGTATAAAGAAAATCCATCTGATGGATTAGCACCTGGAACCACAGTGAAGCTACCGATTAATTGATTTGCAGGAAATTCAACCATATAATCAAATTGCATTGAGTTATTTTCAGCAGTCAAATCATCAAATGAAGACATTGATTCATATTCAGTCTGTCCACTCGTCATAAAGTTATTTTGATCATAAGAATCAAGCTTTTCGACTTTTTTGCTTGACATATTCAAATGCAAAGCAAAAATGGAAATCCTGGCACTGTTAGCCACGATCAAAGTACGAGTCATTTGATCAAAACTAACGATATTGAAAATAGATTCTTCTTTTGCATTCGACTTAGTTATTGAAGATCGACGTTCGGGAGGCGGTAAAAATTTAATTGATTGTATAAATTCCGAAGATTCAACGTCATAAAGATGAAGATTATTATTACGTTCAGTACCAATAACAACATACCGCACTTTAAAGGGTTGTTCTTTTGAAATTTCCTCTCTATCAACAAATAAAATTGAAGAAGCCACCTGTCCATCAAGATTGATTTTATTCGAATGCTTAATTTCAGTTGATTCATTAGTATAATTCAGTGTCCAAAAAATAACTAACTCGTCGTTAGCCGTGGCCAATGTAGTTCCATCGGGCGAAAATGTCAAATCATTAATTGGCTAAATTATTAAATTCATTAAAATTAATATATATATATATATATAATTTTAAATAATCTGAATACTAACATTTAAATAATTTAAATCATTTAATACAAATTAATATTATACCTTTTCTTGAATTTCAGACTTTAATATCTTATCATTAATTTCGGATTCTTTGATGTTCGCTTGATCCTTGTCCTCCAATATCTTGCTAATATCAAATATCAAAACCTCATTTGTATCGGTAGCTACGGCAAAAAGGTTAGGATTAACTGGATGCCAAGTGGCTCGATGGTAACGCGGTTGCTTCGAGTCCTGCATTTCTTTCGCGTCAATTTCAAGTAATACTTTATATCTGATATACAGATTTAAGATGATCAATAAAGAATGTTGGAATGTGACTTTAGTGGTATTAAGAAAACCTTTGTTCCTATTATAAATTGACAAAAGAAGAAAGGGAAGCATACGGAATTTCCGCTTCCGGTTCAGTTGGAGGTTGGAATAGTTCCCATACTGTAATTTTGCTATCAGCGCCAACAGCTAAAAGTAATTGTCTTCCCATTTGTGCCTCTTCATTTCCGTTAGGCGCCGTTTCTTGAATGCACATGTCAAGAATGGTTTTTTCGTGGTTCCGCAATAATGTTTTAGCCCCAAATTCAGTATCAATCACTCGAATTTTTCCTCCTGTAGTAATAAACATTATAGAAATATTATGATTAAAATATATTGAATATTATATAAAGTATATTTTTATATAACATACCTTTTACAGCATAACAAATAAAATGACCATTGACTGCAATTGACTTCCCGGTACGATATTCTAATTCACTATGCTTTAAAGTAATAGTTGTAAAGTCTAATTCATTTGAACTTAACACATTTTCGTTTCGCTCTCCTGTATCATATAAAAGAGTTCCCATTGGAAGACTAACACCATCTGGAACACTAAGATAGATAGATATATATATATATATATGTATGTATATAAAATATACGACAAAAATAATTTTGTATAAAGTAAAATTTAATTTGAAATGAATCGTCTTTTCATACCTTGATTGACTTTTGGGTGCTGAATTTGCACGTATGTTCCACGCAGAAAATTCGGGAAGGAATGGTTCTATTTGTTGTAGAGATCTATAGAAAGCCGCCCCATCCTTTTGCATTGTGGGAACTTCTCTTTTCTTTTGTGTAGGTGAAGAAGAACGCGATGGCCATTGATGGACTACTTGATCACGGTTAGGATTAGAAGGAGATGGGGGTGGGGATTTTAAAAAATCAAAGGGGTTGCTATATGTAAACACCGGTTTATTTGTAGTAGTAGAAGACGAATCCTTCGAATTATTAGTTGTCGTCGTTGAGGTAATTGTGGAAATTGTGGTAATTGATGGTTTGATGGACTCCAAATTATCCAAACTAATCAATTTATCATAATCAATCACATCTACCACATCTACAGGAGATGCTAGTTGTTCATCGACTTCGGATGTTTCCTCAACAACAAAAGGTGCATCTTCTTCATTTTCAGGACCATCATCTGGAGCCATAGAAGTTTCTGGTTGATAACGAATCTCATTTTCCTGCCGACTGAATTTGATTTTTTTATTATTATTTGTAATTATTTTTTTTATTTATTTATTATAAAACAAATTCAACAAAATACCTTTCCTCGGCTTTCGATACTGTTGAAGTAGGACCGAAAAGTGCCAATTTAAGGGATTCTGTTGAAGCCTTATCAATGTATAGGGTGGGGTCAGTAGCTCCATACTTGGATAAATTTTCAATTTCACCATTTTGAGGACTTAAAGCACCTACACCACTTATGGGTGGTGCTGATGAATGTGAAATTGGTTGAGGGTTTAAAGTGCTAAGCAGGGAAGCTAACGGATTAGGGGAAATTGCTTGTGGTGGTGGTGGTGGAGGTGGTGGTGGCACAGTAGTCGGAGGAAATACAACAGTAGAATTGTACCCCGTTGGCTGCGTAAAAGCATGATTAAAGCTGAAAGCCGGCATTGGATTGGGAGATCCTTGTCTTGGAGGGGGAGTTTGTTGTGAAGAAGGATACGAAGACGTTGTTGGACTTATTTGTCCTACCATTTTCGTTGATTCCGAAGTCGGATTTTTATGAAGAATACTTAATAACTTTGCCGAATGGTCCATTTTTATATACAATTTTCACCGTATATTTAAGCGAAAATTTGAAACTATTTTAAACTTAGTTGAATCAAATTGAAAGTCAAAAACCTATTTTAAAAGTTTTTATTTCTTTCACAAAGCTAAATTATTCTGTTTTGAAGTAGTAATTATATTCCGCAGTAAATGCAAGATATTCACGTGATAATGTTAATATGTAAAAGAACCAAAGATGGAAACAATAAAAAAAAAAGTGGGGAAATCAAAGATATAATACGAATGTTCGCATAACCTTATCAATATATAATCTAATAAAAAGAAAAGAATCTTTGATAATCTCTTTACATTCTTTAACACATTTAATTATATTAAGAGAGAATTTATTTTAAAGGTCGATTTCCTTAATAATAATTTTTAATAATTTATAATTTATACGAATATAATAAAATATTAATTTATGTTAACAATAAGTTTAATTAACGACTTTTCCCAGAGATTTTAGACTGAGCACCACGAGCTTGTTGTTTCGAAATTTTTTGTTGACCACGATTTGTAGCTTGTGCAGTCTGAATTGAAATTGTTAATAAAATAAATACTTATTCAAAATTTTGTTCAAAAAAAAAAAAATAGATCAAAGTGCAAAAACACATATATAAATATATATATATATATAAATGATAAATATGATATATATAAATGATATATATATATATATATAAAATATATATTAAAAACAAATCATAACCTTTGCTTTCTCGGCTTTTCTCTTAGCCTGTTCTTGCTTCTTTTTCTCTTTAGCTTCACGGATATCAGCGGCCCGAGCAGCTTCTCTCACTTCGGGTTTTTGATTACGTTTATCCTTAATAACTTCCAATGATGCACCAACAATTGCACGTTGAGTTTTAACCGTACGACGAGTACGTTTCTTTGCAACCTCTTCAGTGATGCCTTTTTTATGCATGCGACGATATACTATCGTCCAACTGATCTTACGAGGATTAAGCTTTTGAAGTGAAAGGGATTCTGTTTTTGATCCAATAAAACGGAAAATCTAAACAAAAATTTTTTTAATCATATTCAATTATAAAAATGATTAAATTAAATTCAAAAATTAATTAATTAAAAAAAAAAATTGATATTGATAAATAAAAATCCAATATAAGAATCAATCCCTTTACAATTTTTTTTTTTTAATTATATAAATATGGTATAACAGATTTTTGTTAAAAAATTTCTAACCCTATTATCTGCCCGGACATATAGCTTGCCTTTGCCTGGATAGATCTTATTACCAGAGAATGAATCGATCTCGATCCTAGATTACAGAAAGGTAAATATAAAATAAACTCTAATAAACGCTTTCCAAAAAAAAAAATATAAAAATAATCATACTTCATAGTTGATAGATAATTAAGAAATTTTTTTATGTACGAAGGTTAATTTCGATGTTCGATGTAATTTAAATTATCAACGTCACGTGCTTATACAAATTGGTTAACCTAGTTGACGGATAGGGTTTATAAAATATTTAATAAGTTTTTATATAAGATAAATGTAACCGCTTTTGTCATAACACGGTCTCGTGGTGTAATGGTTATCACTCAGGACTTTGAATCCTGCGATCCGAGTTCGATTCTCGGCGAGACCTTTTTGACTATTTTTGGTGAGAAACGAAAGCAAGTATTGTTATCAACTCACTTCTATTTGATTCTGTATTCATTTATAAACGTTTTGCAAATATTTTTGTTTTAGACGATGATTGTAAAATTTTAATTTTATTATTATTTTATATATATATATATACATATATAATGAAAGACAGACTCACATCAATAATTTATGCATGCCATAATGATGATATTCGTATGATATTTATATAAATTGTTTAAATAAAAAAATAATAATAGGATGTTGATATAAATATATATATAATTGTTTAAAAGAAAGAAAAAAAAAATATTACAGTGGAATAATGCACAAAATAACAAATGAAATCTCAACACCCTTTTTCCTTTTTTTCCTTTTTTAATTTCCTTAATTTCTATAAATGTAAATTCAGATATAAATATAAAGTATATATATATATATATAATTATTAATAATTATTATAATTATAATTATAATAATTAATAACATGTTAAGAATTGTTTATTTTTCATTTCGCAAGAGTCCCAATTATCCATCTCGCGATCATTCAGTGCGATCAAGTAATAAACCAAGATTGCTAACCCCATTGCCCATATCCAAAGTCTCTGTGAATGCTGATTGATTGATTGATTGATTGATTGATTTTTTTTTGATTGAATTAATTTGATTGATTGATTGATTGATTGATTGTATGTTGTAGGTTGAATGGTTATTGGTTTGTTGGTTATTGTTGTTGGTAAATATATATATTATTGTGAAAGAAAAAAATATACATAAAATAATTTTATTCGTTAATCATCCTCGTCTAATTTATTATTAAATAATGTATAATATATAATTGATTCTTTTTTAAAAAAGGAAAAAAAATTTCTAAATTATAAAATTTTCTCCGTATTTCGGATAAATGTTTGTTTTTTTTTATATGAAAATAAAGGATTTTTGGGATTTAATTAAATATTCTTTTTTTTTTTTTGTTGGCTAAACCTACCAAAGCCAGCGAAGATGCAGATGATCTTAGATGATTTTTGATTTTTTTTTTTTTTTTTTGTTTTCCCTTCAAAACCCCTACAAAAATAATTGTCTTTTGCTCTTTTCCCTCCCACCGTTATTATCAAAATTCTCTCAACATTATAGCAAACCAGTAAAAATAATCGATTATATATAAAATACAATCTACAAATATCAACAACTTCGGAATCAACTATTCTTCGCAATTATTGCAATTATTACAATTATTCCTCGGTTGTTGATATTTTTGATATTTTCAAGTTACTTGGTTTACCGAAACGGGATCTATCATTATTATCTAAACTACTCACTTTTCTGGTGTATGTCATGCGTTTCAACGCCAAGGGACTGCCGCTTTTTGTTGGATCGTCGAATCGGACGTCGGGCCCCTTCGAGATGTTCTCCTTGCGAACATTGGGACCAGGAGAGGATTTACTTGTGGTTGGTTCGTTTTCGTCATTTCCGTCAATTCCGACAAAAGATCGGGCTTTGGGGATGTACTTTTGTTCCAGGTTAGCGTGTTCTGTTTTGGCAGAATGAATTGGAGAGTGACATCATTGTTATCTATATATTATTGTCATATGTAGTAAACGTCAAATTAATGAGAATAGAAAAAATAAAAATTTTCAACAAATCGTAAGTTTCCAACTAATTTTTGTTTGCTGATTTCGAACGTTTGATTGTTGGAAACTTTATATATATATATATATATTGTGCTTCTTTTTACAATATATATATATATATACCTCTCTTCGTAGAGTTTGTTTACTTCATTTTTATTAACGCTGTACCTACCAACAAGGAATCTTTTTATCACCAAATGATGTATTATATTTTAAAATAAAAAAAAATTATAAAATAAAAAAAAAATAAATTTATTAGTGATTTCATAATTAATAAAAAAAGAAGAAAAAAAAAGAATCAGAACGATCTGAATTGACGACACGTACTTTGATAACTCTGCCCAACCTCCTCCAACTCGAACCATAACCATCCGACTTCTTAAAATTTTACAATAACAAAGTTTAGGATCAACTTCGCCAAACATATATTTTCCTGATTCTCCTTCGACCATAGAAACTGAAATCTTTACTGGACAAGCATTTACAATACGTGCAACTTCAACGTCTAGATCATCGTTTGGATCCGGAATGTAATTATTTACAGAGTGTGGTAATAACCGAATTGGCGGACGTCTTGGTGAACCTGGGACACCGGGTGTTGGACTCGGTGTAAAACGCGTTGGAGTTTTCGGGGTGCCAGTTCGGTATCTAGAATTATGTGAAGGAGATGGTGAAATAATTTTTTTTTTTGACCTTGAAAACAAAAAAAAAAAAAAAAAAAAAAAAAAAAGGAAATAATGAGCATATTAACCTTAATGACGACGAGGATGTTTTAGGGGTAATAGCATTTCGAGATGGTGGTCTGGTTGATGAACGACTATATTTGGTGGGTGAAAATGGTCTGGAACCTGAATATATTTGGGAGTTTGAACGGGCATGTCTTGTTGTTGGTGTTCTTGGTGATGATTTTTGCCCTGAAAGTATACGTTTTAGTTGTTCTTTTTTGGATAAAGCTACTTCATTCAACTCATTCCATTGCTCATTAAGAATTCCCAAACGATCCACAACTCGCCAATCGTCTTTCATTTGTTCTGCTAAATGTTGTGCTTCTAATAATTTTTGATCGATTTTAGGCTGATAATAATTATATTTGGTTTCAACCTCGATTGAACGTGATTGTAATTCAATTGGTATTAATAATTCAAGTGGACTACCATCTTCGGTTTTACTTGCAACATCAATTACATCAAGTAATGACCTCATTAGTGCATTCATTTCATCTGCTTTGGTACCAAATATTGCCAAATTGTGCGCTTCTTTAAGTTGAGATCTCTTATTATCAATAATGCTAGCAAGATTTGTTAAGGTTTCCGCAATACCAGCTCGTTGTTGTACGTAACCAACATCACGTTCGGTTAAATTATTTATCAAATCATCTAAGGCATCAATTTTGTGTCCAAGAATATGATCAACTTCTGCTTGAATTTCTTCGAGTTCCCTTTCCCCATTTTCTACATCATCTATTGTTGGTAGTCTGGGAACTCCATCACCATTTACAAAAGATTCAATGTTTAATACCCTTTCTTTGACTTGACCAACAGCAACTAAAATATCGTTAATTGCACGAGAAACCTCTTGACTTTCTTTTGATGCATTAAGACTTATTCTTAAATGGTTTACTAAATCTTTAAGAGCATACCAATCTTCCAATACACGATTGGTACGTGTTTGAATAGATTCTTTTATAATAGGATTAGATTCCTCTGGTCGAGGTTCATCGATATCAACATTATTGATTTCGGGTAAAAGAACTTGATGACTCATTCCTTTGAATGCATCGACTGTAGCTTGGAATTTAGCAACTTTATCTTCTAATTCACAGATTCCTTCCTCTTGCTCAACTGTACCAACTTGAATTTCCAATGCTGCCTTCTTACAAGCTGACATCCAATTTTTAATGTCATGTGCGGCTTTAGTATGTGTGTGGACTTTGCGTACAAGGTCAAGTTCACGATGTTCAAGTACGACAGCATCATTGAATTGATCCAAGGCTACTGTGACTTTATTGAAAATGTTTAATACGCGTTCTTTATTTGTTTCAGGATTCTGTTCAATTAACTTATCGGCTTCATCTTTCAAATTATTTTTTACTTGTTGTTCACATTTTTCCAATTTTTCTTTACTTTGTGTATTCCCATCAAGAGCATCGTAAAGAAGATTTGAGAGGGAATCAATTTCAAGAGCATAATAACTACTACGTTCTAATTCTTCATTTCGTGATTTAACAATTGCTATTCCTTCATAACAAGAGGCAATGACTCTATTAGCATCCGCGTGAAATGCTGCCAACTGTGAAGCATTGTGTGCTGCGGCGAGAGCTGTTTGAAATGATTCGGATAAATGGGCAAGTCTCTCAACCGCTTGATCATAGTGAATATCAAAGTTTTGTCGGTTAAATTCGTCAATAACATTATTGGGAATATCATGAATTTGCAACGCAGCAGTTTTGACTTCTTCAAGCATAATAGAAGCCTTTTTGATGTTTTCATCTAATTCTTTAACCTCGGCTTCCAATTTATTGAAATCAATACTTGATAATGAATTAATTCGAGATTCCAATACATTAAATATCTCGTTTTCGATTCGATATATGTCTTCATGCCTATCGTGCCATGTGGATACCTTTTCTAATAATTTGTTAATATCTTCTGCTGATGTGTCAAGTTTTTCCCAAGCGTCATCAAGATTGGAATGATATTCTGTTATTTCTTGTAAATCATGACCACTTTCCCTTGAATTTATATCGATGAAGTCTGAACGGATTCTTTCAAGTTGACTCATACGATCTGGTAATTGATTGTTAAAATTTTTAATAACTCCTGTCAAATCATGGAAATTTTTATTGTTCAAATCACTGGAATTAGCAACCATTATACTATTATTTTGTTTGGCATTTTGAAAGGTTGATATAGTATCATCAATCCATTGTTGTAAATCATTAACATTACAAATAAAGGCTTTAGCAATTTGTTCGGATTGATAGGCTTCAACTTCATCATTCTTTTCTTTAAATATATTTTTCATATTATCTATAGCATTAACTATCTGTTGAAAAACTTCTTCCATTTCTATAGCTTCTTTCTCACTTAATGCGCCAATATTTACTTGTAAATTTTCTCGAACCAAATCATAAACCTTAATCAATGAAAATAATTCTGTTTGTTCTAATGAATTCAATTTAATCTCCCAATCTTTCATATCAGCATCAGATACATCTTCTACTGGAGTTTTAATCATGATATTAGATAATTCATTTATTTTTGAAAGTACTTCTTTGGCTTTTTCTTTGAAGTCTTTAACTTGAAGTGCTTGATCTATTATTTGTTTTGCTTTTGGAACATTGGCTTGTAAGTTCTCCCATAAGGTATCAATTTCTTGTGATTTGGAGAGAACAAGTTCGAGATCTGCCTTAACATCATCATCTACATTATCACCTTTAGTTTCGTTCGTCATATCTTCAATTAATTTATTAGCTAAATTTTTGGCAAAATCAAATGTACTATGATAAGATTGTCGTGCGGCTTCTATAGCATCAATTTCAGAAATAAGTTGATGTAATTGGTCTTCTGACAAATCACACAAGTTCTCATTGTTAAGAATTCCTTCTAATGTATTCAATCCTGGTTGAATCCATGAAGCGACATCATTGGCTTGTTTTAAGTAAGATTCAATCAACAACTTGCGTCGCAATACATTCTTATGTGTGTGTAAGAGATCATTCAAACTATTTGATAATGAAGCGAGGGATTCGTTTTGTGCCTTAACTGCTTCGCGAATTACTGAATTACAATCTTCTGAATGAGCAGTTCGATCTTGATCATTCTGAACTGAACATGTTGGATAAATGATTTTGGATGCAACATCATCCCATAAATCTTTGACTCTCTCTGAAAAACTGTTGACAGCTATAGAAACGGAGTTTCCTTCTCCGCCAGGAGAACTTGGTTCATTGGACAACAGAATCTAAAAAAAAAATGATTATTATTAAATTTCTAATTTAATGAATTTAATGAATTTAATATGAATTGATATTGATTAACATTACCTGTTGAATTTGATTTGCCTCATTTTCCATTTTAAGACAATCTGTGTGATATTTCATTGCACCTTTTCGTTGCTCAATAACTTCTTTGGCATAATCTTCAATCGATTTTAATTTTTGCATTGAATCATTTACTGCTTGTTGTCTATTTTTCACATGTTCCGGAATATCTTTTTCAAATTCACTCTTCGAAGTTTGATATTCATCAATTTTATTATTTATTGGTTCAACCTTTTTATTTTCAAAATCTGAAATTTTCTTTTTTATGTCTTCCAATTCATCATTTAGTTTTTTTATAACAGAGTCAATCTCACTTTCAGCAACTGGACTTTCTTGTGATTTCCATAAAGCCTTTTCAGAAGTGAAACGATCAAGTTCATCTTCAAGTTTCTTAGAATCTGAAAGTACATTATCAAGTTCCTCCGAAAGACTCATCGTTTCTTGATATGATTTTAATGAATCATCAAGTCCTTTAGATAATTGATCAAGTTCTTGCAAACGATCATTTACAGCCTAAAATATAAAAATGAGATGTAAACAAAAATTTATTACAAATTTATTTATTTTATACGATGTTATAAGATATCTTGCCTGCTTTATTGATGCATCTATGTCCTCTCCGGAAAGTTTGTCTTTAGGGTATGGAATTTTGTCAGCTAAATTTTTTCTTAAGTCATCCAAATTTTTATTAAAGGTGGCAACCTTTTCGGGAAAACTGGGATCAACTTCGCCATTCTCTTCAGCAGAATTTATTAAAGCTTTTAATGCGTCACCTTCTTTTTCAACTGTATCGGATTGACTAAAGAATGAATTTATTGCTTCACGTTGTTTTAATACTTGATCACTTAGATTTACACGTTCAACTAGTTCATCGAATTTTTTATTTAAGCCAAGTTGACGATCAACAATATGTTGTGGAGGAGGTGATTTGGAAAGAAATGATTTCATTGAAGTTGCCATTTCATTATAGGCAGTTTTGAATGAAAACAATGAATTTTCTTCAAATTTAGTAACTTTTTGTTTCAAATTTATGAATTCATCTTGTAAGTCAGTCATAGGTTGTGAATTTTCCTGATTCCATCTTGCTTTATTTTCAATAAAATCATTGATTTCACTCGTTAAATCTTTAATTGAAGATAAATTGGGATCATATAACTCTTCCCATTTGGAGCGGGTTTGCAATACATTTAGATCCAATTGATGTAGTGATGATAAATTTTGAATATCTCCAAAGATTTTGTTAAGATTGTTAAGAGATTCACGGATTGGTTTAGGGTCGACACTTTTACAATTAGCTTTCTTGATATCTTCAATTAGAGATTCAACATTACGACGAACCTCACTAATATCTTCAAGATCAATACGAGTATTCTCTTGCTTAAATAGTTCGTGATTATCAAGCATTTCCTGAACTTGAGGTGTATCATATGGATATATTTGAGAAAGAGGATCAACTTTTAGGTCATTAAGGGTCTTCAACCGATCTTCTATAGTACTTTGTAAACGTTCGGAATTCTTTATGCATTCATTGGCACGCTCTTGAAGAGCAAGAGAGGATTTATAAGTATCATATAATTTATTCAATTCATCTTCTGCATGACGCAATGTTGAAAGGCGTTTTTGGGCTGCTTCTTTAATTGATTCGTTTTTCGTAACTTTTACTTCATCCATGATGGTACTAGTTGGATATGAGATCTTAGAACCTTTTTCATCCCATAAGGTGGTAACTTTTTGGTTGAATTCTTTGATCTTTGAATCAAAATCAATTTCACTAGGACCGGAGGAAACATTTTTTTCGGCTTGAATTAAATTATCTTTGAGTTCAGACGCAAAATTGTCCAAAGTTGTAGCTTCTGCATTATATTCTACCATTTCAGCACGTTGATTCAAAAGGTCACGGGAATATGAAACATGATCTTTGAGTTTAGTTACATTGTTTTCAAGTTCAGATTGACGGCCTTCGAGTTTCTTTCTAGGTTCCTTATCAGTAGTTAATTTATCACTGGCTTCAATAAACGCATCATAATTTGACTTGTTCGAGACTATAACATTGGATACAAAATTGTTGATATTTTCTTCAATTGTTGTGAATTCATTATCAAGAACTTCACGCGCATTTATATCCTCAGGGGTTTTAAGTTTCCATGATGCTTTTTCTGCAATGAAACTTTTAGTTCTTTTTAGAGAGTCATTAATAAAATCGCTAGAATTCTTGTGTGATTCTTCCCATGTAAGACGTTTTTGTGCAGAATTTACCTCATCAGGTTCACGAGATTGAAGAATCTGGATGTTATCCCGAAGTCCATTAAGTTTTTCATCAAGGGTAACGATCATACTTTCTAATTCATCAGTATTTACAGCTTTCGTTTTTATTGATTTTACTTCATCCACAAGTGCTACTACTTTTTCTTTTAAAGTTTTTAGTTCATCTTGATCAAAATTATGTACGTCCACAACGATTTGCGCATTTCCTGCAGCATAATCTTCAATATCTTTGGAAGAAAAATTACATGGATTACGAAAAACGTCGAATTTACGATTAATCACAAATTTATCTTTTTGGGAAATCCAATTTCCTAATCTTTCAGCTTCTTTCTTATATTCTTCTGCCATTTTCTTAAGTTTCAGAGAACGTTGATAATTTTTTAATGCTTCATTGGTTTCTTCAAGTACTTCCTCCAATTTTTTGTGATACATTTGTACTGCTTCTCGAACAACAACATTTTCTGACGGGTCATGTTCAAAATATTCAGGATAACGTATCGATTCAGTCGTAGATTTTAATGAATTATTTATGCGCTTCTCTAACTCTTCGACACGTGCAATATATTTTTTTTCGACTGATCCACCACGTGGATTCTCTTCTTCGATTATTAATTGATCCCTTAGTTCTGTACAATCAAGGTGTGCTTTATCAGCAGAATTTGTGTATTCTAAAACTTGTTGTCGTTGCATAAGGACTTCTTTGGCAAAATCCATATAAGATTTCAATTTATTCATATCTCTTTCTTCAAGATTCTCTTGTTTTACCATTAAATGTTCGGGAACTTCGATTGGAGATAGTTCAACTAATTCGTCAAATATTTCAGTTGTTGGAGGTATTGTATTATTCTCGAAATCTATAATGCTTCTTTCAATAGCGTTTGCTTCGATTGTAACATCACGTTGACTAGGTTGAGAAGATTTTAATGGCCACCCGTCATCTCCATTTGAAATTGGAGGTTTCCATCTACCATGATCTAAAATAAATGATCTAGTTTCACCATTTATCCTATTCCAAATATCCATTGCATTTTTAAATTCACGTTCCCATTGTACACGGGTGTACAACACAGCTAATTGATTATCACGACGTTTTAACATTCCTAATAATTGATCTAACAATTTTAATGTTTTTAAAGTGATTGAAATGGTCATTGTATCAGCTGGAGACATTGAATCTGATGCAGCTACTTCATTGCCCATTATATTTTTTACATGAGCTCTTAGACGTGTAATATCTTCCTCGTCAAATTTTTCTGTCTTTCTTTCCATTTCTTCATAATCATTTTGCCATTCATCAACTTCTTCTTGGGTGGCAGGTGCGTCTCCTTCTTGAAAAACATCAACTTTAGGTACATTTTCCAAAGTATTGATACGTTCGTCGATCCAAATACGTATCCGTTCTGCCTCTTTAAACCAAATACGAACTTCTTCAATCCAAGCTTCAACTTTTACTAATTGAACTTTTTGATTTTCAAATGCCTCTTTGTAACTCTGATCTTCTGCATCAACGCTTAAAAGGTGAGCGTAAGAAGATGCAAGACTTTTAATTAAATTACGAGCATCTACCATATGAGCATCCAATTCTTGAATAGAGGCATCAGTTGTAGTATCACCTCTTCTCATTTGACCTTTAACGTTATCAAGCTTATCACGAATTTCATTAACAGCTTTTGCAAATGTCCTACCTTCCTTAATTACTTGAATATCACGTTTTCGATCTTCCATTAAATCTTTTATTGAAGCGAATTTTGATTCCATTTCATTTATTTCTTCAGCAACTTCATTTCCACGAATTCTTTTAACGGGTTCACTTTTCAACCAAAATTCCACCCATTGACTTCTTTCAAAAGAAATTAATTCTGATTCAATTAAATTATAACGTTCAATAAATTCTTCAACGTGATCATCATTACAAGTTAGACCATGAACACGTTCAGGTTCTTCGTTTTCGGCATCAGTATCGTTTAGATAAGTGGGAGGGAAAGCAAGATGAGAATGAAAATATTCTAATTTATCACGTATTTTAACTTGTAAACGTTCAAATTCGGAACCAGCAGAAGTGGGAGAAGAAGGACTTGATGGACTTAAATAAGCAGCCATTTGAAGTCTATTTTCGGCCAGAGCAATACGAATATTTTGGATGGTCATTAATAATTTTGAATGTTTTTGCCTTAAAGCTTTTGAGAGAGCGGAATTATCAGTCAACAATTCATTTTCGAAATTAGTAATTTGAGATTCTAAATCTTTGACATCACCATGTACTAAACCCGCATCATTATGTTCAATAATTGTCTTTCTTATTTGAGCCATTTGATTACGTGAATTTTGCATAGAAATCAAATTATTTATTACCATTGAATAACGTTCAGTAGTGGTTTGAGATAAAAGGAGAGTAATGAAATCAGTTAATTTTATAATTCTTTCATTGAGATTTTTAAATTGTTTTGTCATTAACTCTATAACAGTTTGTTCTTCGCTATCAGAGGAATCTTTAATGATAGTTATTGTTTCATCAAATTTTTTTTCAAGTTCATCAATTCTAGTAGATTTTAATTCTTGAACAGATTCATCAATTCCTTGAATGATTTTTCTTCTTTCATTCACCAAAGATTCCAAATTTTGTTGTTCTTCGGACCATTCATATTTATTAATGAAATCGGGAACTTCTAATTGTTTAACTCTATTTAATGTATCAGAAATTATTTTATCAGCTTCATTTGAACCATCAAACCATCTTACTATACGACGATCATAAGCCAAGGTTTGTTTAGTAATATTAATTTTATTTTTTAAATTAGGTACATTAGAAGTGATAATAAGTTGAATATGAATTTTTAAATCTTCAGGAGCTCTAAATCTTTCATGTTGATAAAGTTGATTAACTTCTTTTACTTTTTCACTGACATCATGAACAATTTCTTCTGCGGCAACAACTTTAGTATACCATTCATCCAATAAAGAAGAAGAAAACATAATTCCAGTAACCGTGACATCATTGGAATTGGAATTAGAATTGGAATTAGAATTGGAATTGATACTATTGATACTATTGATACTATTACTATTATTAAGATTATTATTATTATTATTATTACTACTATTAATATGATTGGTAGAAGTATTTATATTAATAACACCATCATCATGAGTTTTCTTTCTTGATTCCTCAACACCTTCTAACATAACTTCCGCTTTTTTAATTTCCACATCAACTTCATCAACTTTTATATTAAGTTCAGCCACCCATTTTAACTCTTGACATTTTAATTTTCCTAATTCAATTAAATTAAAAAAAATTTGCCATAATTTTTCAAAAGCAATTGAATGTTCTTTTAATAAATTAGGATTTAAGAGAGAAGAAGAGTTATCATTTGATAATAAAAGATCATTTAATTGATTATAATCCAATTGTTTACTTATTATTTCAGTTTCTATTTTAGATAATGATTGATCAGAAAGGTTTATATAATCAAGGTCTATTGGTAAAGTGGAATAAGAAGGAAATGTAGGAAAATTTGATGTCATCCAAGACACCAAAGTTTGAGTAGCTCTAAAATATTCCTCGAGAGGGTCGCCTGAACTAGGTAATATATTCAGATTTTGCAATATATTTAGATTCTCTTGAAATACCTGACTTTTTTCAGCGTATTCTTGGTCCACTGTTATTACATTTAAAACTTCAATTTCTTCAATAGAATTAATAGAACTATCGTCGCCTTGAAGTATTTCAGGATTTATTTCAGGATTATAAGAATCTTCCTCCATATTTTTGTGATAATAAATTTTTTAAAATAATAATTTGAGATATTCTTTATTTATAAAAAATTATGAATAATAATTACAACCTTTTTATTAAAGATGAAAAAAAAAAAACTAGACGAATAAAAGATGTTAATTTTAACTTGAGAAGCCACAGACAACCACAAGTTTATTAGTGAAAAGAGTAATATAGTAGTAGTAATAAATAAGAAGGGAAAAGTAGAAATTTTATTTAAGGGAGTTGGAGGATAATAAAAAGGTAATATTTGGCAAAACCACTCTCGAAGAATAAAAAAAAGCGATGTAAAGAGGAAAGAAAAAACTAATAATTTAAACTGAAGACCACGTTTATTGTTTCTATATATAAATAAAAGAGATTTTTAACCGTGATTTTTTTTTTTCACACCAAAAAAAAAACGGATTTTTTTTTTTTATTTAAAGAACCTTAGTTAAACTATAACCGCCTTTTTGAAATAGAAAAAAAAAGTAGAGATACAATTGGGCGTTGTCTAAAGTTTTTCATTTGGAGCAACGGAGATACTTACATGTCTAACGTACACAACAGTTTTCGCACAACATATCTGATTTTAGTAGTAAAACTTATTTTGTTAGTTAGTGAAAGAAATTTAGTTGTTATTATTGTTATTAATGTATATATATGAGGGAACATTTATTAGTTATTAATTTAATCTAAAATCTATTTATTTATCTAAATATATAAAATATATATACAATAAATATATATAAAATTTATATATAACAATAAGAGAAATATTTAAAATATTTTTAATATTTTTTACACACAAATAAAGTCGATAACTAAGTTTGGAAAATCAAAATCTTTTTATTGTTATAATCTATTGTTTGTTATCCGTCAATCAACTCGACTATTTTAACTGGTTTAACTAGTTTAGTTTTTGAATAGTTTTTTTTATCTCCTGTGTAATCCTTATTATCCTTTGTTATCCTTGTTATCCTCGTTATCCTTGGCGACAATGTGTAGTATAGAAGATTCTCCGATTATTTTTGATGGTTGGTAATATATTTAATGAAGTTAAACTTTTTGAAATTAAGTAAAAATTAATGTTTTGTTGTTGTTTTTATGTAGAGGTTAAAAGAAAATCAGAAGTTAAAAATTGCATTAAATGCAAAACTTCAACTGCGACAATTTTAATTCGACACTCTACCTATTGCAAGTATGAATTATCTTAATTGATTAATTGATTATGAGAAAGAAGAAAAAAAAAATGATATATTGATTTACAATTAATTAATTCAATTTTTGACAATTCAATTAATTAATTCAATTTTTGACAATTCAATTAATTGGAAATTTGGAAATTTAATAATAAATTGGTATAAAGACCATGTTTCCAACACGTATTTGTTGGAAAATTTCGTAAAAACATGGAAAAATATAGAACTTCTAATTCAAGAATTGATGAAAAGGTCATGATAGGATTATCTGGAGGTTCATCATCAAGGTTTAAATCTAAATAATTTTATAAGAATTAATTTAATTTAATAAATCTAATTAATACGAAATATTTATATATAATTTCTTTTAATTAAAATATTTTATTTTTATTAGAGCAATGCTTCATTTATTATGTGAGATTTTTTCTCATGAGTTATCTAAGAAACAATCTTTTACTGAAGTTTTGGTTTGTCATATTGATGAAAATTCTATATTTAATTTAAAGGTTAGTTTTTAATAATTAGTTATATTCTATTTTATCAATTATATATATATATATATATTAATTCTATTAATAATTATATATATATTTATTATATTTTAAATTATTGGTAAAATAAATTGTTAAGGATAGCACAATAAATCAAGTCGAACAAATTATTCAAAAATATAATTCTTCTTTCATTGGATTACGGATTGAAGACATATATTCAGATGAATTTACATCAAACATGGAATTTGGTCAAGTTTTAAAAATTTCTTTAGACAAATCAAAGCAACAAGAATTTAATGGTAAATACAATAATTTTTTGAAATCAAAAAAAAAAAAAAAAATGATGAAGAAATTAATAAATTAAATATTAAATATAATAATAATAATATTACAAGAATTTAGAATTTAATGCTATTATTAGACAAAATAAGGAATTATCAAACAAAGAGAAATTGCAATCATTACTTGAATGCATATCAAACTTAACTTCCAAAGAAGATTTCGTGTGGTATCTGAAACTAAGTTTATTGATTCAGATTGCACGTAAGAAAGGGTAAAATATTTAAATAATGTATAATAATATATAAAGATTTGATCTGTAATTGATATTAAATATATAAATTTTTTATTTCTATTTCTATTTCCATTTTATATTTTTATTTTTATTTTTCAGATGCACACGACTCTTTTTAGGTGATTGTTCAACTCGATTAGCTACTAAGATTATATCTTTGACTAGTAAAGGGCGTGGATTTAGTTTACCAATAGAAATTTTGGGAGAAAGCAATTATTTTGGAGGTATTATTTATTTAAATTTATAATATTTTATAATCTATTTTTATATTTAAATATTATTTTTATTTTTTTTTTTTTATGACAGATGTGATAATTTCAAGACCCATGAAAGACATGACTTCAAAAGAAATTAGTCTTTATAACCATTATTTAGGTTTTGAAACTGTTTTCATACCTTCCCTGACTTCCTTGCGACCATCAAAATCCAGTATTGAGAGATTAACTGAAGGTAATAAAAGTAATTATTACTTGTTAATTGCAATCCAGATTATATGAATTATAAATTTATAATTTATATATATATATACATATAACAGATTTCATTGTTGGTTTGGAAAGGGATTATCCATCTACTGTAAGCACTATTGCAAGAACCGGTTCTAAACTTACAACTTCAAATTCCATTGATGATGAAAATCGTTGTGCCTTATGTTTGATGTTAGTACAAATATTATCATTTTTTTTACAGATATAATTTTTCTTTATTTAAATATATTTTTAATTCCTTTTTTTTTAAAAAAAAAAAAATTTATTTAGGCCGTACCAGAATGAAAATAAGTTTTTTCAAAACAGAATAACTGTGACAAAAATTCCTTCTTCATTTACATCATCTATCTCTACTACAAATGATTGTAACACTACTACAAATAATTATAATGACCATTGTAATCTTTTTACAAAATCCTGTTCGCAATCTTGTTGTTCAAATTGCATTAATCTTGATCATCAAAATATTGAGATCAACAACACTTTATGTCACGCTTGCCGTGTCAATATGCATGATATTAATGAAATTTTTTTACCTCCCTATGTAGCTGAAGAGGCAAAAAAGCAAAATAGGCGGTTAGATTTAAGAAAAAATATTGAAGAATTCTTAATAGATGATATAGATAATGACCAATAAATATTTGTACCCACCAAATGGTAACTAATAAAAGATTTATACAAAAAAATCATAGAATTTAGAAAAAATTTTATCATTTTTTTGTCTTCTTATAGAGTACTGGGTTAGATAAAAAAAATAAATTAATATTTCCTATATCATGACAATGGTAGCAGTTTCCAATTTCGTAATAATAATATGTAGACTTACATATTAGAAATAAAAAGAATTTGCCTATTCATGACAATTAGTTAATAAAATTAGTTTGTAAATCCTTTGTAATATCACCCAAGCTTAGACAATTAGTGGGAACAACATAATTATGTTGTTCCCACTTAGTCTAGGTTATTACTGTGGCGTAATTCATTTTTTAGGCCACACTCGAAAGTGGTACGATTCATTTTTTATGCCACACTCGAAGATGGTATAATTCATTTTTTAGGCCACACTCGAACTATCATATATTAGGTTATTGATCTGATCAATTTCTCTCATCAAGTCACATGTGATATAATGTATATCAATTTGGTGATAAGGTACTCCTCAAGATAGGTTATTAAGGGGAATGTGAATTCTCACTAGGTGTGACGACGAGATCACATATGTGTTATCATTTGTGGATCCAATGTGAGGGCTATGTCCAAACTTGGCACATAGTGCTTTAATTTTATGGTTAATTCCTCTATGAGGGCTAGAGTTGAGACACAGTACCAAAATAGTATTTGTGACCTGGCTTTGTATAATGTATTCAAATACTGATTAAGGATGAGGCATGTAGTACCAAATTGCTAACTGTTATAATACACTCAAATACTGACCAAGGTTGAGGCATGTAGTGTCAAATTGTTAGCAGTTGTTAGCTTCACATAATTCATTCAAATATTACCTGATGAGACATGTAGTGTCAAATTGTTATCCCTACTTAGTAACTTACCAAAGCATAATTTTATTTTATATATATCTGTAATAATTATACCTTAATAGCCTACCAATTTTCATGAATTGTTATTTCTATTTGGTAACCTCCAAAGCACAATTTTATTATATATATATATATACTATATATCTATAATAATTATTTCTTGAAGCCTATCAATTTTCATGAAATGTTATTTCTACTTGATAACTCACCAAAACATAATTTTATATATATCTATAATAATTATACTTTGGTGGTTTACTTTTTTACCTCCATTTGATATCCCATCAAAGTACAATTTTTTATATATCTATATTTCTGTATTAATTATATCTTGATAACCTACTGATTTTTCTTTCAAATTATATATCTAATTATATTCCATTACTCACCAAATCTTAACCTATAAATTTTAATACTTTAGCATTTTATTTTTTTAGAGTACTTTGATATCTTACTGAATTATGATATTCAATACTTAGTGACCTGATTTTTTAGAGTACTTTGATACTTTGATATTTTACTTTTTAAAGTACTTTGATACTTTGATATTCTACTTTTTTAGAATATTTTGATACTTTGATGTTTTACTATATACATCAGTAATTATATTAATTTGAAAACCTTTGAAATTATATTGTAACGTTAGATTTCAAAGGTTATCGATTGTGTCGTAACCCTTTGAAATCAAAATTTAATGGTTAAATTTCAATACGTATTATTTCATTATCAAAAATCTTCAAAGTTTAATGCTAAATTTTTTAACGATAACGTAAACTTTTGAAATTCAATAGCTAATATTTTAACATATTTTATTTCAGGTTTATCGCTTTCAGATTACTTCAAATTTAATTGTTTTCATTATAATTCAATATATATTGTGAAAAATTTCATTTCATAATTTTTATTACTTTCTGAATTTTTACATAATTTATTATTAATTTTATTATTAAAAGATAATAATAAATATTTTATAACATTTTTTTTTTTTCTATATATTTTTATATGATAATGCAATAATGTAGGATAATTATTTTTTATATAATTCTTAAATATGACACAGGTTTCTATTTTCTGTAATATTATATTACTTGATACTTCTTTTCGTCTTTATTCTTTTATAAAGATAATAATATT